CAGTAGTTAGAAATATTCTCCCTTTGAGCCTGCTGTAAGAATATATAAGGAGAAATGTTTCTCAGTAGTTATCTCATATAGACTTAATTGTGAACACCCAGGGAAATAATTGCAAAAAAAAGTTTGGTAGGTAATTTTGCCCCCAAATGGGAGAACTAATGGGAAATCTATCATTTACAAAACTGTCAAACTATGCTAAATGTTATGTAAGAATATTAACAATATAATGCAGAATTTGTAATTTTAGGAAGTGTTCGCTCTACATAAAGAAGCATTCTTTTCAGCTTTTTCCTTTTAGGGCCTATGAGGAGACCAGCGCCACTTCCCTTTGAATTCTGCATGTGTCTCTGTCTGTCTGTCTGTCTCTTTCTTTTGTAGATGCATTTTATTTCTTCTTTCGCATTGTATAGCTTCCTCCAAACCATCAACCACCAGGGTATCTGATGAGAAAAGAGTGAGGATTGCAGTAATTTTTTAGGATGCAGGTTGGTTGGTTCCCCAGTATCTGTAAGAAGAAGAAATGTTTGCGAGTTTTCACAGACTCAAGTCAAAGGATAATGTGGTGATGATCTTGTCTTGGTTAGATAATGCTTTCAGACGCAGGTAGGCTGCTCTCCTGAGCCTGTGGGAAAACATGTTTAACTGCACAGAGAGTCGGGGAAGGGCGTTTTAATGAGGCTTTTTCACATCAGGGAGGGAGTGCACGATGGCTCAGGAACTGCCTGCTGAGGTCCACATTGTTAGACTGCTCCCCTCTTGCCGTACATGTATGATCCCTCTTGCCGTACATGTATGATCCCTCTTGCCGTACATGTATGAGCCTCCCCTGGCCCTGCAACCTGAGCCCCTGCAGCCAGACATCATGGCGATGGGGGGCGGGGGGGGGGGGGGGGGGGGCAGGGATCAATGAAGCAGTGTCTGCTTCATGGTTGGTTCCTGGAGACTTGTTAGGACTCCAGGGGTGGATCAGCCACTCACGCATCAAAACTCAGAAAGAGAAGTGAACGGACCCTTCCATTTGGGGAAGTGGTGGCAGTGAGCAATCTGGGCTTGTGTTTGAAATGGTACCACAGTCCGTATTCTCCCTTAAGACTAATTCTGCGGTTAGTGTTCCTCTTTCAGATATCACTTAAAGGAATGAGAGTTGAGGATGTATATTTGATACTGTATTTTAAAATTTTATTCACTATACCAAAAATTTAATGTAACATTGATCACTTTCCTAATACAAGTGAAAGTAATCATGGCTAGGACAAAATGTTTCTTCTCTGAAGATACTTCCTGTTTCAGAGTTAGAAGCGAGTGTCTTCACCTAGTTCTTTCCCTCTTAGGTGTGAAAATAACTCGTGTGGCAGTTGCTACAAAGATTGTGTCATAGTTTGAGTTTAGCTTAATGTTTTTCCAGAATAAATTTATGGATTTATAGGATCTTATTTCAGGAGGTTCACTTCTATATTCTTATGGTTTGTTGTGTTACTCTTATTTTAAAGTTACTCAAGGTACCATATAACATGAATGTCTTTCATACTTTTATTCATTGGCATGGTTCTCTGAGTGAAACCAGAGGTCTGGTTGGATGCCCCTAACAGGAACTCACAGTTCACCTTCCAGTGTCTCAGGTTTTATGTTAAACTAGAGGCCCGGTGCACAAATTTGTGCATGGGTGGGATCCCTTGGAGTGGCCTGCAGAGATTGGGCCCCAGCTCGCGCCCCCAGCCCCACAGTCCCTTAGCCCCGCAGCCCTGCCTGACACCCTGCCTTGGCCTGGTGCCGCCCCCTTACCTGCTCTACCATCCTGCCTGTGGGCGCGATCCATCAGGGCCAGGCTCCCCACCCGGCTGCTTCTATATCTGGGAGCTAGGTGGCGACCCTGGACCCCACCACTGTTGTTGGTTGCACCTGCCTTGACCTGGCGCTGCCTGCTCACCTACTCCACCGTCCCAACACAGTCCTGCTCTCATTGAGGCCCATAGGGGCCAGTGGTGCCTCCACTGCCGCCTGCTGCCAGTGCCTCATCACCAACGCCTGCCATGTTCTGCTCTGCTCCCTGGTGGTCAGCGCACGTCATAGCGAGTGGTCGAACTTCCGGTCTCCCTGTCGAACGACTGCCCGAGGGGACAATTTGCATATTAGGCTTTTATTATGTAGGAGGATGGTGTTGGTAATAAGTATATTTTTTATTCTTGTGGCTATCCTTATTGTTCTGTCTCAACTGTAGGATTTGTGTGGACAAAATTAAGTAAATATGTGAAGACCCTTTATATTATTGGGAAGTGGCTATGATTCAGTATTTTATTTTTCAGATGATCTCTTAGCACTAATCAAATGCATTGATTAACTTCTGATTAGCTGGCTCATTTGTAAGAGAATTGTCTTTAGATGTATTGCTTTCAAATTGTTCCTGATGTAATTTAGCAAAATAGGTGCTGAAGTTCTTTGTTGACTGATTGTCTCCTGTTTGATTTTATTCTTTAACTTAATGTAGTTTGGCAGGAAGCCATTTACACCAAACTATGTAATTACTTCTTATTCCCAGATAAGTTTGAAATACAAATGAGGATTTGGGCTTGGGATGGGGTAGGATGAGAAAAGGGCAGTTTTTTTTTTTGACTTCTCTTGTGTCACTTATTCACTAATTTATATATTTTCCCAACTTCTAAAATGAACTGGAAGTGGCTTTTATTAAAATTATCTAATCCAGTAGAGTTGTAGGTAATAGAGCCGTTATTTTGGAGTGAAGGACTTAATGAAGAAAGGCAGATGCACCAGAACCTAGATCAGTGGTCCAGTCTGCGCCTCAGCCCCTGTGCAGCACTGAAGCATCCAGACACAGGGCCCTTGGGGAGTAGGGCCTTATTTCACGTTCCGCTGGGGATTATGATGGACAGCCATGGCCGAGAAGCACTGCCGCAGATGATGGGTAGGCATGTAAGAGAGTTTATTCGTCTGCTCTGCACTTTGTGGCACTGATTGAAAAAGAGAAAACGAGTTTCATAGCTCTTAATATCTTAAAAATTTACATCACTGGAAGAGGCACTTTTTCCTCACCATGAAACTAACAGAGTTTGATGTTGTAGATGTCTGCAACTGCTCACTGTCTTTAACAAATAGTTTTATCAAGGACTCGGAAACATCCTTTACCTGAAGGGCTTTTTATCGATCCTTGTGTGAGGTTGACAGTGTAATATGAAATCATAACTGTGTGATGGCGTTTCTGTATGAAGCTAGTGCAGCTTCCTGAGTCCAAATGTTGCATTTCATTCATGTTTGTATTTCCAGCCCCTCACACAGTTTTGGCACATATTTCAGAGGTGTTTTATAAATGCTTTTGGAATAAATGAGTTCAAATGTTTAGTTTCGTGGTGAACTACATTGCCATAAAGATAGAGCGGAGGAAATCTAGAGTAAAAATGATTAGCATGTTTCCTGGACCACCTGTCACTAATATCAATTGTTTCTACTTGGCACTGAAGACTTGTGTTTGTGTTTTTTTTTTTTTTTTCGTGGGGGGGAGCGTAGCTTGTGTAAAATTAAAAGAATAAAAGAAAAGCTCGTAAGTTTATTCTGTAACTCTCTGTTTAGTGGTTAAAAGGAGTGGCTACATCCAAAGTTAGACTTCAGGTACTCAAAGAAAAAAAAAGTAACTTTTTGCTCTTTATTTTTACACAGTTTTTGAATTCCTACCAAGTGCAATGTATTGTAAGATAGTTCTCTTTTCAGGGAGCTTATAAATTTACAGGGAACATTTATCAAATGCAATAAGAGGTAAGAACACTGCTGAAACCAGAGGTCCTATCTGACTGAGAAAGAGAGATATTTGGGTGCGGAAAAGATTTCAGTAAATGTAGATGTTGGAGGGCAAGAAACAGCTTTATACTGTGAAGAGTGGAGATAAGACTATGTTGGTACCATGTTAACGGAATGGTGAATAGTTCAATGGTGCAAAAGTATCCTTGAATCAGTGCGGCTACATAGTTTAAAGGCATCAGAGAAGCTTATGACTTTCAAGAAAACTTCATGAAAATCTATGACCCACTCAGAGGAACTTATGTGCATACCTATCGTAGGGAAAATGCATGACTAGGCATCCAGTGTGTAATAAGCTTTATACAGCATTGTCATCTTCCAGTTTGGTTGTGAGGAATTCATAGAGCTCATTAAGTGTCAGTAGAATTGTTTGAATCATTCAAACATTTATCTTCAGCAGAAGATTAAAAAAGAAATTGTTCCAAATTTGAATCCAGGACTTGAAAAATGCCAGTTGTCTAAATACAGTACCGTATTGTGATAAATATAGCTATGGAATATTTTAAAATCTCTTCACAAAACTTTATTTTAATATTCATAGCAGAATATTTTTGGAAACGTTATCTGAAAAAGAACCATTTTATTATCAGAGCTGACTATTAATTAGGGTATTGTTTCGGATATAAAAGTTGATCTGCCACTGAATTTCTATTTGAATATGTATAGTTCCAAGCTTGCTTTGTGTATTTAATAACTTTACCACCATAATTACTCTGTTTACAATTAGATTTTGGTGAATATGCTAATATGGACTATACCAGTGAGTGGTTCCAGCAAAGGGCGGTATTGATTTGCATTTGGATGTGCTTTTCACTTGCATCTGAATTTCATTTCAGTGGGAAAAGAGGTGGTCGGATTATGTAGTGGATTATATGTGATGGTAAACTTTTTCTTGGCAACATCTCTGTTGAATTGGCTATCATAATAGTGGATTTTCTTTGCTCCAGGTGGGCAGAAATTACGTGGAAAGATTTAATTTGGTTGAGGTTTGTGCTCTCCGATGTATTGTTTAATAGAAATCTTAAAGCTGGTCATTGGTTCATTATTAGAAGAAGCCTATAATGTACTAATGCAGTTGTTTAATTCAAATTAACATTTTAAGCTCTTTAGAGAATTCACTGACTTACTGAAGCAAATGCTATGGTTCTGTTATATATCATAGTTTTTGAGCAGGAACTTCTGGTTTCAAATAATTCTACTTTCTTCTTTTCACAAATCACCTGAAAAGGAATAAGTAGATTGAGAAACACAGATTTCCTGTTCTCAAAAACTCGGAGACTTCTGTCACCCTGAACCAGACAATAAGAGGGGCTGCCAAATACAATGAAGGTCAGAGAGGGGCATGGGAGGCTGCTGCAAAGGGACATCAGGTCTGAGACGCAGATCTCAGACAAAGCTGGCAGAGTAGTGTTCTCCAAAGTCAGTGGCACAACCTGAGTGGCCTCGCCAATCAGCTGAAAGAAGAGGAATGCATGGGTGTTGGCAGGAGAGGGGCTGGAGGCAAGGTTATGGTGTGATGAAAATGTTCTCGGAGTCCTGATCCCAGGTAGTTGTTGCTCAGGTGTATATACATGTGTAAAATTTACCAGTCTTGTGCACACTTTCAGTTTATTGCCTCTCAACTGCAAATTCACCTTTCTTTGCTCTGTTTGTGATACTTGCGTTAGATACTATAAACATTTTTCTTTTTTCTTTTCCAGCAGTGTTAGGTTTTGTCACTAGAGGATGAGGGAGGGACACTTGCAAGGCATAGTGAGAAAGGGACTTCCTTTTAACATTCCTTGCAGTGCTGATTTGGTGGTAATGTACTCCTTTAGTCTTCTTCTTTTTTTTTTGGTCTGGGAAGCTCATTATTTTGCCTTCAATTTTAAATGATAGCCTTGCTGGATAGAGTAGTCCTGGACTCAGGTCCTTGCTTTTCATTACTTTGAATACTTCATGCCAGTCCCTTCTGGCCTGAAGTGTTTCTGTTCAGAAATCAGCTGACAGTCTCATGGGAAGTCCCTGTGGATAACGTTCTGTCTCTCTGTTGCTGCCTTTCTTTGTCTTTAATGTTTGCCGTTTTAATTATGAGGTGTCTTAGTTTGGGTCTCTTTGGGTTCATCTTGATTGGGACTCTCGGTGCTTCCTGAACTTGTGTGACTTTTTCAACTTCACCAGGTTAGGAAAGTTTTGTCATTATTTTTTAAAACAGGTTCTTTATTTCTTGCTCACTTTCTTCTTTCTGGTTCCCTATGATGCAGATGTTGTTACGTGTCATGTTGTCCCAAAGTTTCCTTAAGGTATCCTCATTATTTTTAAGTGTTTTTGCTGTTCTAATTGTTTTTTCCCCCTTGTCTTCTAAATCACTGATTTGAAACTCTGCTTCATCCAGTCTACTTTTAATTCCTTCCAGTATATTCTTGACTAGAGGCCTGGTGCACAAAATTCGTGCAAGAGTAGGCCTTCCTTCCCCCAGCTGCTGGCACCGGCTTCCCTCTGGCACCCAGGATCCAGGCTTCCCTCCGGCCCCTGGCAGGCACCTGGGACCCAAGCTTCCCTTGCAGCCCCAGCTTCGTCCAGAAGGTTGTCTGGAAGGACATTCGGTCTAATTAGCATATTATGTTTTTATTATTATAGATGTTGTGGTATTCTTCAATATTCTTATTCATGGTTTCTGTTTCCTCGTTCGTGCTGTTGTGTTCCTAAGTTTCTTGTAATTCTTACTCAGTTCCAAACCATGACTTTGAACTCGTTATCTGATAAATTGCTTGCCTCCATTTCATTTAGCTCTTTTTCTGGTTATTCCTCCTGAGTTTCATTTGGGGCCTGTTTCTTTGTTTCCCTATTTTGGGTGCCTCTTTCTGTTTGCTTCTGTGTATTAGATAGCTCTGCTATGATTCCTATTCTTCGTTTGGTGGCCTTATGTAGTAGGTGCCCTGTGGGCCCAGTGCTGCAGTCTTCTTGATCTCCAGAGCCGGATGCTGTAGGAATGTCCCTTGTGTGGGTTATGCGGACCCTCCTGTTGTAATTGGGTCTTGATTGCTGTTGGCCTGTTCATGTTTCGGATTGACACTCAGGGTGGCTGACTGTGAGGCTCAACTTTGACCACGTCGAATAAGTTGTTGTACAGGTGCTGACAGAACAAAACAAGACAAAGCAAAACGAAAAACAAAACAAAAAATCATTACCACCACCACCACCAACAAAAAGAATAAGGAAAAGAAAGAAAGAAATAAAAGAAAAAAGAATAAAAGAAGAAAAAATATGAAAGGAAAGAAGAAGAAAAAAGATTAGGAACACCACCACCAACAAAAAGAATAAGGAAAAGAAAGAAATAAAAGACAAAAGAAAAAAGAATAAAAGAAGAAAAAATATGAAAGGAAAGAAGAAGAAAAAAGATTAGGAAAAGAAAACCAAGAAAAAAAGTATAAAAACAGAAAAAAGAAAGGAAATAGGATTAGGAAGGAAAGAGAAATATGAAATATTAAGGAAAAAAGAAGGGAAAAAAGAAAACAATAGCAAAAAAGAATAACAATAAAAGAAAAAAGTAAAAAAATAAAAAGAAAAGAAAAAAGTGAAGCTTGTTGAATCCTGTTCCGATGCTGTTGAAAGCTGCCATTTGGTTTAAAGGTTCCTGGCCTCCCGGCTACCTGTCTGTACCTATAAGTGACCCACAGTATGTGGCTGCCTCTGCTCAGCTTGCTGCACTGGGAAAAACCTCAATGACTTCTTCACATTCATGTGGAATGGACCGAATTGTCAGGGAGGTTTTCACCGAGGCAGCAAGTTGGTTTCAGATACTCATTAATAAATATATTTTTCTTCTTTTTTGTTTGCAGAGAAGCTGGTAATTTAGGACCTACATTGAACAACTTCATATGAACTTTGTACTTAGTTTACTTGCACTAGTATAAGGTCTTGAACACTGTGGGTCTCTTGAAGGGGGAGGGGGCTGGATAATCTGGAAAAGGGTGGAATCCTACTTTATATCTTAAACCAGTGGTTCTCCACCTTCCTAACGCCGCGGCCCTTTAATACAGTTCCTCATGTTGTGGTGACCCCCAACCATAAAATTATTTTCGTTGCTACTTCATAACTGTAATTTTGCTACTGTTATGAATCGTCATGTAAATATCTGATATGCAGGATGTATTTTCATTGTTACAAATTGAACATAATTAAAGCATAGTGATTAATCACAAAAACAATATGTAATTATATATGTGTTTTCTGATGGTCTTAGGCGACCCCTATGAAAGGGTTGTTCGACCCCCAAAGGGGTCGCGACCCACAGGTTGAGAACCACTGTCTTAAAGCCTTGTAAGTGTAGACAGATCAGAATTTTACCAGCAAAATATGAAACCATAAGACAACTAAAAGAAAACATGGGAGATACTTGAAAAAAGTAATTTGACTGGGTGAGGTCTAAGGATGATGTATAATCCAAAAGCTCAAAATTAGCAATATCGAAAGACAATTAATTTGGGAAGGATATTTGCAATACAGAGGGGTAATTTTAAAAATATAATGAAAACAAAATGCTACCCGTAGTTTACAGGAAATGAATTACAGCTTTTACTTGGGGTGGGGTGGGGGTGGGGGGTCTTTTCTTTCTTCCTTTTTTTGTTTGTGTGATTGGACAAGCTCATGGAATATGAAAAGATTTCTAGTTTTGATCTCTTGATGATTGTTAATTATAAGAACAGTAATTTTTTAATGTTATAGCCATAAACTACCAATACAGAAAACCTTATCAAACAAATATAGACTTAATGAATTATAAGGTACTTTTATAATTACCACCCACATCAAGAAATAGAACTTTGCCAGCTATGTCCCTCATCCTACTCACAACTTTCTTATGCTTTTCCAGTGTAACTTCTATCTTTTATGGTAGTCGTTTCCTTTTCTTTATAGAAATTATCACTCAAATGTGCATCCCTAAACACTGTAGCTTAGATTTGCCTGATTTAATTTTGTTTTGCATGTTATTTTTAAGCCTTTTAAAATGTAGGTTTTTTTTTTTTTCCTGCATCTCTTCTCTTTTTCCTTTAGTGAAGAAATGGGATTCTGTGTATTGTAAGATTTCCACAGTTAGGGTTGTGCAGATTGCTTTTCTGTGTTACAGTTTATCATGTTGTTCTGTTCTCTTCATAGCTTGTGAATTGGTAGGCTTGATCAGATTCAGGGTTTATTTTTAATTTATTTTTAATTTATTTTTTGGCAAGATTGCTTCATGGGTAGCGTTGTGTTCTTTTATCAGGAGGCATATAATGCCTGGATATCTGTTATATTTTGATGCTTGTAGCTGTCAAGGCTCAATGTGTAGATCCATTAATTCATTAGGAGGGAGGAATGGTGTTAACTTAAACCATTCTTAGTCATTTGTTAGCGGAAATTTTTCTGTAAGAAGAAATTTCTCATCTTCTATGGGTTACCCAGTGGTACAATTTATATTTATCACTTTTCAAAATTGAGTGGTTTTCTATTATCCTTTAGAGGTGACCGCTTAGGGTTTCTTACTGTTATAAACTCCTGGATTTACCCATTTTATATGTCTTCAGCCATTGTGGTGTTATCTTTACTGACGCAGATTGGCCCATCTTTGGTCAGTGGGAACATCTTTCAAGCTGACTCCTTAGACGTATTTGACATAACGCTAGTCGTTTTTGGTAGCTTCCTTGACGTCTAGAAACTACAGGTGTTCCAAGTCTATCTTGTGCATGTACAGCTTCAGACCTGGAGTCAGTCCTTTCTTCAATCTGGTTTCTTTTAATAAGAATTGGTATTCCAAGAATACAATTTATGTACCAGGGATGCTCATTGCTACTGGGTTTGTTTCCAAGCTTTTTTGTGAATGGGGTTAGGAAATACAAAGGGGTGTGTGTATGGTTTTTGTAAAAGATAAGATACCTTCTGAATTAAGAATATTTCCAGATACACAGCATTTCAAACTTACTTTTTGGTATGGTTTTTGTAAAAGATAAGATACCTTCTGAATTAATATTTCCAGATACACAGCATTTCAACCTTACTTTTTGGTCTTTCATCTGTATTCTTTCTTCCAGTTTTGAATCCTGATTTTTAAGGATCCAAAGGGATGATAGAATTCAAATATCACATAATTACTCATTTGCATTATTCCACATTTGTGCATACAATAGCCTTAGTTAACAAAAGCAAGTATCACCACAATATGATTACTGGATAATTACTTTTTTGCATATGTTCTCTTGATTTTTCATAGTTGTACTATATCTGAATTGTCAGACATATAGCCATTATGTATTCTATTCTTTCCTTTATTGCCTTTGTTGGTTCTACAAGTAAATATCTATTTACTGCTCACTGTCAGTTCTTACGTTAGTCATTTTGGATATGTGATGCTTGTTCTCTAGTAAGTTCTGACTCCCTTTTTCCATTTTGATAACACTTTGAAGTCTTTATAGTTGAAATTTAACTGAGTATAAAATCTTTGGCTTATGTTTTCTATCTTCAAGTCTTAAATACGCTACTTTTTTCCCCCTGGCATAAAGTGTTGCTGTCAGTGATGACAATCTGATTTTATTTTTCATATAAAATATCCTTTTTTTTGGCCTGGGTGCTCAGAGAATATTTTCTTTTACTATTAAGTTCAGTAATTTTATTAAGTTGTGTTTTAGTGTTGGTTATCCTGGGTTGAATTTTGTTAAGTGTGTGATCTTTATTTTTTTCTAAGTACAGAAAAATCGTTCCCTTTCCCCTTGTGTTAATTGTCTTGTGTTTTCAATCTCTGTACTGTGCTCTTACCACATTGGTATTGACCTTTATAAACTTACTGCATTATGATAAAGTGTGCATACTAATTGGATGCACCTTTCCCCTCACCTTCATAGAGCATATTTTTGTGTGTTAAATAGCATTTTTAGTTATAGATATTAGATCACTGAAACTTTAAACTAAATATTTTCTTGAAAGTAATTGCATAGGTTTTTTGTTGTTGTTGTTGTTAATCCTCACCTGAGGATATTTCCCCATTGTTTTTTAGGGAGAGTGGAAGGGAGAGGAAGAGACAGAGAGAAATATTGATGTGAGAGAAATACATCAATTGGTTGCCTCCTGCACGAGCCCTGTCCAGGGCCAGGGCCGGGGAGGAGCCTGCAACCAAGGTACGTGCCCTTGACTAGAATTGAACCCTGGAATCTTTGGTCTAGAGGCTGACACTCTATCCACTGAGCCAAACCGGCCAGGGTGCATAGCTCATTTTATTTATTGTTTTCTCTCCAAAATTAAGAGATAATCCAAGAGGATTATAAATTAGAACAGATGTCCTTTAAATTTTAGAGTTAGTAAGAATTTGAATAGTACCTGTATTGCACAGAAGCTTTCCTTAGGAAGGGAGAGGAAGAGACAGAGAGAAATATTGATGTGAGAGAAATACATCAATTGGTTGCCTCCTGCACGAGCCCTGTCCAGGGCCAGGGCCGAGAAGGAGTCTGCAACCAAGGTACGTGCCCTTGACTAGAATTGAACCCTGGAATCTTTGGTCTAGAGGCTGACACTCTATCCACTGAGCCAAACCGGCCAGGGTGCATAGCTCATTTTATTTATTGTTTTCTCTCCAAAATTAAGAGATAATCCAAGAGGATTATAAATTAGAACAGATGTCCTTTAAATTTTAGAGTTAGTAAGAATTTGAATAGTACCTGTATTGCACAGAAGCTGTGCAATACAGGTACTATGGGAAATGTTTTGAACACTTCTGGGATTATAATTCTCAGTGTTGCTTTGTTTTATATTTTAGTGAAAATGCCTCGTGTAAAAGCAGCTCAAGCTGGAAGACAGGGCCCTGCAAAGAGACGTCTTGCAGAACAATTTGCAGCGGGGGAGGTAATCACCGACTTGGCAAAAAAGGAATGGAAACTAGGATTACCCATTGGCCAAGGTGGCTTTGGTTGTATATATCTTGGTAGGTGTATGACCACTTCTAATGAATTGTCAAGCCAAAGATTTATGTGCTTCATATCAAAATAGTTTCTCAATTTGAGCTGTTACAGGATATTTCTAATAAACTACAGTCAGTATATGATTAGGCAAAAATGCATCTCTGTCAGGAGTGGAAGAGAAGATGGTTGATTTAGTCACAGTAGAAAGAGTATAAAGTATTTGTAATATTGTCATTAGTGAGCACCATGGCTTTGGATTTTTAAGGTATTCCATATAATCTTAACTTTTTTGAGATGCAAAGAAATTGATGTACATTTTTTCCCCTACCTCCACCCAATTAGGATTTACTCCCTCTGTTTTGGTTTAATTTGGCAATTTTCAGATCTTAACCATTGTAGGTTTTTATTTTCTTCCTATACAACCTTAATAAGTTGTAATTATGGAATTAGGAGAATGATCTAGAAATTCATGTTAGTCCTGATTTAATGTACTATTTTTAGCATACTTACCTTGAAATTTGGGGGGGCCTACTGTGGAACCCTGAGATTCTGCAGGTTAACTAAATTGTTGATTTAAAAAATATTTTACCTGACTACTTCTAAAGTTGTCTGCTTCATCAAGAATATTATAGTGATACAACACACTTCATGTTTGCTTTTGATATTTCTCTATAACGTTTCTGTGTTCTTATTCCACCTCTAATCTCGATTCAGCTAGTCCATCATTTAATTATTTAATTTCTGCCTGGAGGTTTATAAAATGTTGCTCTTAGTAGTGGAACCCCTTTTCTCTTTAAAGGAATATCTTTCTTAGAATACTAATTTTGTAGTGTAGATTAGCATCACACGGAAACCTGTTTGAACTGCCAGTTCTCAGGTTCCACCCAGACTTGCCAATCAGAAACTAGAGGGCCCATGCATGCTGAAGCTCGAGAGCCCCTGACAGAGATAAACGAGCAGCTGTATCTCCTCCAGGACCCACGGGCTGCAGTGGGTTAGCCGGTCTCTAGGGGTATGGTCATGAAACAGCTTAAAAGCCACTGCTTTACTATCTATACTAATAATCTATACTAATAAAAGGATAATATGCTAAATAGGGCGGACATCTGGACGTCTGTCCGGACAAAGCCACAGCGGCTGCGAGGCCCGGGGGTCACGGCAGCCATGAGCCCCGGCGGCTGTGAGGCCCAGGGCTCATGGTAGCTGTGGGCTCAGGCAGCCGGGGGCTAAGGCAGGTGTGGGCTCAGGCAGCTGCGAGGCCCGGGGCTCAGGCAGCCGCCACGGCCAGCAGTGGCAGCAGCAGCGGGGTTATGGGGGCAGCGCCTTCCCTTGATCAGCCCGGTTGCCTCCTGTAGAGCAGGAGCGGGGAGTGGGCCTAAGCCATCAGTAGGACATCCCCTGGGGGCTCCTGGACTGTGAGAGGGGGCAGGCCTGGCTGAGGGACTGTCCCCTCCCCCCGGTGTACAAATTTTCATGCACCGGGCCTCTAGTATTTCATAAATATGATTCCTCTAGGTCAGTGGGAAATAGGCGTTGATTCTTTAGTTTTGTTCAGAGCCAAACCCATTACAGTGAACTAGGTTATCTGATTTAACGTGAAAATCCTTGTAAACCATGAAAGGTTAGAAGCTTTTTTAGTCAGGTATATATTGTTTGACCTTGTAACTTAGAGATGGTAGATTATTAGGCCGTCTCTCGGCAGAATGTGTGGGTTAGGACATCCCATAGTAGGAATGGGAACTTGTCTTTAACAAGCTGGTTCTTAATTTTGCATTAGTTACTTTACTTTTGTAACCTTTGGCAAATAGGGAACTTGCTTTTGCATGTGTGCTAGCTATTTTGTTCGTATTTGTATTTATCACCAGAAAATGCCATTTAATAGTATTTTTTGTATTTGATGGTTTGAAAGATTTCTGTGACAAAACGTCACTGCTATAAGCCTGGATTGATCACTCTGGTGAAGGGTTTGCCTTAATGCTGCCTCCAGCTTACCTCTCCATAACTGCCCTACCGAAGATCATCAGCAGTTTCTGCTCATGAGTTAAACAAGTTGCTTTTGCATCTTCTTTGGGTGTTTTCTGCAGGACTTGATACTGTTTATCTTTTACAAATAGAAATTGCTTCCATCGTCTTCATGACAACGTACCTTCCCCTCTGGCCTTCCTCCTCCCTCTCAATGTGCTTAGTCATTTCCAGCTTTCCTTCTTCGGCTCACCTTTCTTTTTTAAATCTTTTTTTCTTTTTCTTTTTATTGATTTCAGAGAGGAAGGGAGAGGGGGAGAGAGAGAAACATCAATGATGAGAGAAAATCATTGATCGGCTGCCTCCTGCACACCCCCTACTGGGGATAGAGCCTGCACCCCAAGCATGTGCCCTTGGCTGGAATTGACCCCGGGGCTCTGCAGTCCGCAAGCCAACGCTCTATCCACTGAGCCAAAGTGGCTAGGGCTGTGGCTCACCTTTCTTCTGCATATTCTGTCTGAGGGATGTCCTCCAGTCTCCTGGCTTCTCTGACGGTCTCTTTACTGTTGATTACCAAATCAGAGTCTGATCTTGCCAGTCCTCTTCTCAAAAGCTTTTCTCTATAGCCTAGGACTTGACCCCGACAGTGCAGGCCCATCGCCAGTGGCCTACAAAGGGACCTGATGTCCCACAGGAGAGGATTATCCACATGAATAACACCCCTTGAGGCAGACATTCTCAAGTGTTCCTTCACTAACACCCCTAGTACCTCATCTAGTTCTGTCACTTTACCTGAGTGACTCCTCAGATCCCTTCATTTCTCTACCTTTGCTGCCACTACCTTATTAGTGGAGGTCATTTCTATGTCTCGTCTGGATTCTCACTGTAGCAATGAATCCTCTGCTCAGTCTTGTCCCCTTGCATCTCCTTGTTCACATTGGGGCTTAAGTGACCCAGACCGATAATCAGATCATAGGACCTTCCATTTAAACGTTTTTTAATGTCTCCCTGGTGCCCTTAGGATAAATGACAAAGTTTTGGAATGGCATACAAGACCCTTCATACAGTCTGGTTCCAAAGTAACTTTCTTCATCCCTTTTATTCCCAAAAGCTATGCTTCAGCTATAATGTTGCCTTTTGCCTCTTGGTTTTTGTATGTGATGCTTCTTTTGTTTAGATTTTCCAAAGCTGAGTTTAGGGTAGGCGTTGTCTTTTTATGGTCCTCCTGTGTCCTGTGTTCATCCTCTCATAGTACATCCATGCTGTGTTGAAATTACTTTTCCTCCTTCCAGAATAAACATAAGCTTTCTGTTGTTTTGTTAATCCTCACCTGAGGATATTTTTTTCCATTGTTTTTTTTTTAGAGAGAGTAGTGGGGTGAGGGGGAGAGATATCAATGTGAGAGAGACACATGGATTGGTGGGGATTAAACCTGCAACCCAGGTACATGCCCTTGACCCAGGAATTGCACCCATGATTCTTTTGTGGGTGGGATGGTGCTCTAACCACGTAGCACACCACCCAGGGTTAAACATGTGCTTCTTGATGATGGACAGCTCTTATGGTGTTCTTAGTGCCTGACATATTTTGCAGTACATATTTTAAAACCCAAAGACTTGGGTCTTGGTCCAACTTAGTCTTTTTTTTAAAAACTGATTTCAGAAAGGAAGGGAGAGGGATATATATAGAGAGAAACATCAATGATGAGAGAGAATCACCGATTGGCTGCCTCCTGCACACCCGCTACTGGGGACTGAGCTCACAACCCAGGCATGTGCCCCTGACTGGAATCGAACCCAGGACCCTTCAGTCCGAAGGCCGATGCTCTATCCACTGAGCCAAAGCAGCCAGGGCTTATTGAGCTTCTTTTCCCCTTTTTCTTCATTTGAATTATATGGTATTATTAGTATACTAGCCTCATTTTAATATTTTGTATACTAACTGCTAAAATCTGACTGTGCTTTATTACTAATTCAGTATTTAAGCGACGTTCCTTGGCTATTCCTTCTACTCATTAGCCAATTTTATGACTTTGTGTTTCTTCTTTAGACTGAAGTATTCTTGCTGCTTCCCAGCTGGTTGGAGTTTCTTGGTTTCACCTTGCCTGTCCCTCCTATCTCTTCACCTGCTGATGTGAGAATGCCTTAGGGTTCAGTCCTACGATTTCTTCTTTCCTCTCTACACTCATTTCCTGGGGAGCTCTTCCAGTTTCATGGGCTTGGAGTGAGTAGATTGATGACTTAGGTTGATGGCTCATTTATTTTTAACTTGCATCACTCTTCTGAAACTAAGATTTGTACAGGGTGGAGCCAAAGTAGGTTTACAATGAGTATGTGAAACAGAGTTTATTCTTGTATTATCATTTATTAATTATTGTATTATTTTCATACAAGCAGGGTAAACCTACTGTTACCCTACCCCGTATACCCACTGCCTGTTTAACATCTGACCTTGGATATTTAATAAGCATCTCAAACTGAGACACCCCACCGCACCAGGTCTCCTGCGGTCTTCTCCGTCTTAGGAAGTAGCAGCTTCCTCTTCCCAGTTGCTCAGGCCAAAAGCCAGGAGTTATCCTTCCTCCTTTCTCCCACTGAACTCCATATCCAGTTCACCCACAAAGCCTGTGGCTCTTTGAAAATATGTCCACAATGTGACCGCTTCTCACCACTTTGTCTGCTGCCACTCGGGTTCAGGCACCGCCATCCCTCACCCGAGTACTGAGCTCCTTGCCCTCTACTCTCCATTCTCCACAAGCATCCTGAAGCATTCTTTACAAGGCAGAGTCTGACCTTGCCAGTCCTCTTCCCCAAACTCCCAGTGGCTTTCCAGCTCATTCATAGAGGGACAGCTTTATGTCACCAATGAAGCTCATTGTGTGTGTTCTGCTGCTTTCCACTCAGTCACTCTTCTCCGGCTACTTTGGCTTCTCTACTTTCCTCCGACATGTCAGGGGCTCCCACATCAGGGCCAGGTGCTGGTTGGCCTGGAATGGTTTCACCCTGACATTTCCATGGCTCATTCCCTCACTGTGTTCAGACCACTGCTCCAGTGACACCCTGTCCGTGAGGTTTCTCTTACTATCTTGCAGCACTGCCTGCCTTTCTTTCCTGCTTAATTATAGCACTTATCACCATCAAACATAATTTATATGTATATTCATTTATTTTTGTTGTTGTGTGAAGCCTCACCAAGGATATTTTTTCCATTGATTTTTAGAGAGATGGTAGGGAAGGAGGGAAAGCGGGGGGAGGAGAGAGAGAGAAACATCGATGTGAGAGAGATACATCGATTGGTTGCCTCCTGCACATGCCCCAACCTGGGCTGGGGATCAAACCTGCAACCCAGGTACATGCCTTTGACCAGGAATTGAACATGCAACCTACCCTTCGGTGCACAGGCCAACACTCTAACCACTTACTTTATTAAATGTAAGAAATTGCATCAGTTATTATCTTGGGAATTCTCAACGTATGTTAGCATATCAAAGACCATGCATACTTTCAAGTTAAAAGTTTAACTTAGAGTTTTTCATACTTAATAGATGATCATATTGAAGATACCAGCCATTATAAGATACATTCCAGTTTGACATGTTAAAACATTAAAAAAAAATAGTCTTAAAGTTGATGATATACATTGTATTGATATGCTGAAACACTGCGTATTTGGAAACTGAAATTTATTCTATCAAAGGATTATAGATATAACAGACCTAACTGTTAATAAAAAGTAATAGGCTATGTATCACGATGCTACTTCTTGTTTTGATATTACATATATCACTTTTTTCAAACAGCTGATAAGAATTCTTCAAAATCGGTGGGCAGTGATGCATCCTATGTTGTAAAAGTGGTAAGAAAATATTTTTTCTTTTTTGTTGATTTAGTGTAGGACTGTTTATTTTGCAAAACATCCTCTTTGATAACTAGAATTAATTAAACCATAAGGTATTACATTTTTAATAATGTTAATAAATATTTAATGAGACACAAAGTAGTTTTATAGTTTTAAATAATTTGAATTCAAAAAGTCGGTCTCCTGTCTTGAATTAGAGTGGCACTAGTATTTGGGGGAAAATGAGTGAAAGCATAGAGGCATGCAGATGTGGACTGAAAATATTCAGCTCACTCTTTTTAGTTTAGCTATATTTACAGTAGATGAGATGCTTTTTTATACTTATGTCCTATAAGACTATACTACCTTAATGAAATTTTATTGTATTTTATCTTGCATTTGCTTCTGAAGTACTTGGTCAATTACTTCTGTGTATTTCCAATTTTCTTCCTTTCCCCTTCTATTTTAGTAAATTAAATTATTTAATTGTGATCACTTTGAACCTTCTTTTGGCTATGAGAACATTGAAATTATTTTGTAACTAGAGGCCTGATGTATGAAATTTGTGCAAGGATAGGCCTTCCTTCCCCTGGCTGCTGGCTTCGCAGCCCTGGCTTTGCAGCCCCGGCCCCCCCCCGCACCCGGCCACAGCCCCCAGGCCCTTTCTGCTGACAGCCCCACTCCTGCTGCTACCACTCCCATGCTCTAACAGAACCGGCCCAGCTCACACCCAGTGACGGTATGGAGTGATTGGGGCCAGCGCCAGCAGCAGAAGCACCCCACCTTGGTCTCATGCCACAGCTCACCTGCTCCACCATCCCTCTGCGGCCAAAGTCTACCATGTGGTCAGCACACATTATAGCGACTGGTTGTTCAGTTGTTCTGCCATTCAGTCTATTTGCATATTAGGGTTTTATATATATACTGGGGCTCAGTGCACAAATTCATGCACCTTGAAAGGAACTGTGGGTCCCGAGGCTGAGGTGGGCACAGGGGAGGGTCTTGTCCCATCCTCAGTGCCATCTGCCACGGCCCCCGGTCCCCTGTCTGCCCGCAGCCCCGCTCCTGCCGCTGCCACTCCCACGTGCACTTGCTGACGGTGTAGAGTGATTGGGGCCTGCACCAGCAGCGGGTGCGAGCGGGGCTGGCGCTGTCAGTGGGTGCCAGCGGTGGCTGCTGCCCCAATCGCCCCTCAGGAGCAGGGGGAGGTGGAGAAGCCCTCAGGGATGTTTGGGGCTGGTAGCCGCCGCTTGCACCTGCTGATGGTGCCGAGCAATCAGGACGGGTGCCGGGCACCGGCAGCGGGTGTGAGCGGTGGCTCCAGTGTCAGGAGCAGGTGTGAGTGGCGGGCGGGGCTGCGGGGCATGGGAGCAAAGAATTTTCAGTAACCACCAGAGGCTCACCCTGATGACAACAACTGGTCCCCCACCTTGGTCTGGCGCCCCCTCTCACCTCCTCCATCCCGCTGTGGCTAATGCCCGCCACGTTCCGCACGCGCCCTCTGGTGTTCAGCGCACGTCATAGCGACTGGTTGTTCGGTTGTTATGCCATTTGGTCTATTTGCATATTAAGGTTTTATATAAATTGATGAGTAAAGGTCGACAACCTTCCATCTGACATAGCATACTTGAGTAGCCAGGCCAATTTATAAACTGGTGCACTAAAAGACATTTTAACTGCTCTTTATTTGTTATCAATATATTATGCTTTTTTTTCCTTACCAACATTTGTAACTCCCTTCTCTCAGAGTTCTTTCAGACATTATACGACATGTTTTTGTTACATAGAGGAGATAACAGTATCTGTTATTTGAGCAAATTACCACATATGTCTCCCACCCCTCCTTTCTTTCGCTAAAGGCTACAGAATTCTGGAATTAGAATTACCCCATGTTTTTTGTTTGTTTGTTTGTTTTGATTTGTTTTATTTTACTCTCTTTTCAAAAGGAATATACATGATTCCTTATGAATGAACTATTTTGGACCTAAATTGTTTTAGTGATTGTTTTGAACATATTTTAATTCAGGTATAGTTTTTACAAGGAAATACGTAGATATTAAATGAACAATTTGAATACTGTTGACAATATATATACCTTTGTAATTCCCACCCCTATTAAAATATAGAGTATTTCCATCACCCCAAAAAGATTCCTTGTTTCCTTTCTGGTTGAACCCCTTCTTCCTGCATCTTTGGAGTTTCCACTGTAGATTAGTTGTTCCTGTTCTAGAACAGCATATAAATGGTAGTATGCAGTGTGTCCTGTTTTGTCTCTGACTTAGTGCAGGTTGCACATGTTGTTGGTGTATCAGTTGCTTGTCCAGTCTTACTGCTCAGTAGTGTTGTATCGTATGGACATAGTTTGCTTTCCGTTTCCTGTTGATAGACTTTGGGATTGTTTCCAGTGTTTGTCTGTTACGAATAAATGTCTATAAATGTTCCTGTACAGACGTTGTTATGGATGTAGGTTTTTACCTACATGTGGAATTGGCTGGTTATAGGGAAGGTACATATTTAAATTCACAAGAAAGTGCCAGATTTCCAGAGTGGTTGTGTCACTTCACAACCACAGTCATATATGCGAGTTCCGGGTGCCCCATGTCCTTTCAACACTTACAGCCCTCGGGTTGGTTGCTTGGTTGGTTACTTAGCCGTGATGTTGGGTGTGTAGTAGTGTCTCCCCTTCATCAATCTTTTGACCCCCCCTTTTTTTTTTTTTTTTAAATAACAAGGTTGTTTTGCTTTTTAAAATTGAGGAGTAAGAGAGGTGTTCTGGATACAAGTCCTTTTTCAGATATATGTGTCGTAAACATTTTCTCCCACTCTGTAGTTTGGCTAATTACTTTCTTAATGCTTTCTCTGCATCTACTGAGATGGGTCATAGGATTTTTCTCCTTTATTCTGATAATGTGGTAATTACATTGATTGATAGTGTTGAACTAACTTAGTATTTTTAACATACACTCCACTTAGATATGGTGTATTGTGCTTTTTAATAATGCTGGGATTGACTTGCTAATAGTTTAAGGATTTTTATATCTTTGTTCATGAGGGATACTGGTTTTAGTTTTTTCCTGATATTTCTAAATTAAAAACGTTCCAATCTCCTTTATGGCTTTGGTGTCAGGGCTGCTGGAACAATGTATTTGTTTCCCCACTTTCCCCGCTGTGTCTTCAGTCTGCCTTTTCCTCCGGGTGCCTCTGGAGAAAGCTGGGCTGTCGTGGCTCACTTTCATTTCCAGCTGTTACAGGTCACTGTCTGGACTGCCTATTCTGTCTTATGTATGAAAAGAGTAGTTTCCTGTATTTGTCCAATTTTTATGTTCGCTTACAGTGGAGGGCTAATTGGATCCAGCTACTTCGTGAGGTTGGTAAGCGGAAGTGAAGTTGGTAACTTTGGTGTGTCTCCCCCACCATTCACTTTTCTTCATGCCTTTTCATTTTGGATTTTTCTTCTTCCTCATTTGCAGAATAATATTCCTTTTGAAATAATCGGTTTGCTGCTGTATCAGTGGAACAAATGTTCTTACTGTTAAATTGGGTCATTTGCATGGAATTGCAGAATATTAACTGCATTTGTCTTTGGTACAACTAATTAAAATATTGAAATCTATGGGAAAGATTAGTTTCTCCTTAGGATCTTTAAAAAGGTTCTATTGTGAGAAGAAAGCAAGGTAAAAACCATGGTTGCCTGCCTGCTTCGCAGTTGGCTAATCTGCACAGCCATCTCTGGGTCTTGGTAGGGAGGTGTGCCAGCACCATAGCTTACGGGGAACGTGTGGAGTCATGTCTTCCTTCTCTAGTACCCGGGCTTCCTTAAATTGCATTTTATTTTAGAGTTATGATACTCTTCTTCATTATGGGTGATTCTAAGTATTTTAGTTGAGATTCAGTGTAACTTCACTTTTCCTACCATTTTTACCTAGAGTTATGAAAAATGTGTAGTAACAAGTATTTCCTAACAGCTTAAGGTAGCAAATTACCTTACATTTCTAAGTTTAAAGCCATTTGTTATTAAACCTGGTTCTGTGCTTTGCCTCTCCAGTCTCCTAATGTAGTTCTGGTTCCTTTTGCCTGTATTACTCTTCTCTGTAATTAGGACAGCGATAAATATTTCTCCTTTGCAGTTAATATTTCAGTAACATTTTCAGTGTCGGAGTTTGACTGTGATCCTGAAAGAATGCCATAAACAAAATAATATTACTGACTTTCTTTTTCTTCTCCAAGGAAGAGTTTAGTAACTGCTGTTTGCTTGTTTGTTCCTGGATACTTATCTTTTCTGAACTTTAAACTCCTGTACCACTTATTCTATTTCCATTTATCTTATAATTTCACATGCTAATATCTTTTTCATGCCACTAATTGTTTTTAATTCTCCCTAACTAGATTTTCAGTTATTTCATGGGTAGGGCCTTGTTTTCAACTTTGTTTTCTCTAAACTGCTCTTAAATGCCTATTTTATATTCTTTTGAAAACTTTGTAGCCATGATTCTTACCACTTTTTAACGTCTTCATGCCACCCACTTTCGTTTCCTGTCTGTGCCTTTAGAGTAGGCTCATTTATAATTTGCCTTTATGTGTTGACATGCTATGCCAGAACTCTATCCATCACTATTCTGTAATTCTTTTGTTCTCAGAACTTTATATTAAAAGTTCAAATGGTTCATCAAATATAAGCATATAAAATGATTATTAGATATTTTCAGTATTAGAATCTGAACTACTTATGAACATTTACCATATAAAACATTAAAAATCACGTTTTCAAAGAATAAATATTACTCCTGAACTACTTATGAACATTTACCATATAAAACATTAAGGGCTATTAAAAATCATGTTTTCAAAGAATAAATATTACTTTTTGGGGAAATTTTATGATTAATCTATTATAATAAAAGCATAATATGCTAATTAGACTGGACAGCCGAATGACCTTCCGGACGAAGCCACGGTGGTGGGGGCCAAGGCAGAGGCGGTTAGGGGCGATCAGGCAGGCAGGCAAGTAGTTAGGGGCGATCAGGCAGGCAGGCAAGTAGTTAGGGGCGATCAGGCAGGCAGGCAAGTAGTTAGGGGCGATCAGGCAGGCAGGCAAGTAGTTAGGGGCGATCAGGCAGGCAGGCAAGTAGTTAGGGGCGATCAGGCAGGCAGGCGAGCGGTTAGGAGCCAGCGGTCCCGGATTGCAAGAGGGTGCAGGCCGGGCTGAGCGACCCCCACCCCCATGCACGAATTTTGTGATCTGGGCCTCTAGTTACTAAATAAAAGGCAAGATACAAAATTATAGTATAGAAGGAGTTTTATAAAATAGCTATGTATGTGAAGAAAACATCAAAATATTTTCAGATTTTCTAAAATTTTAGTTTTAGAGAAAAAAGTCAAAGGGAGGTAAAATAACCAAAGGCAAATTGCTCTTTAATGTGACATTAGACTTAATAGCATATCAGACCGTGGCTCTCAGCTCCGCTTGTACAGTGCCATCCGAATCTCTGGATGCAGGGCCTGGTGAGTAAAGTTCCCAGGGGAGGCTTTTGTGCATCAAGGTTGAGAACCACTGGTAGAGTCTGGTGCACAAAGCACCTAATTATGCCCAGTGGAACCATGTGTGCATGCTCATGTTTATCTTTGTTTGGGGATCCTTTTTCTTTAATTGTCACCCAAGGACATGCTTAGAAGAAGGGAGGGAAGGGGGGAGGGGGGGAGGAAGGAAGGAAGGAAGGGAAGGAAGGAAGGAAGGAAGGAAGGAAGGAAGGAAGGAAGTTTGCCTTCTGTATGTGCCCTGACCAGGGATCGAAGTGGCCACCTTTTGATGCACAGGGCAATGCTCAACCCACTGAGCCACTGTGGCTGGGCGGGGATCCGTTTATTCAGTGGGGACATGCAGGCACCCGTGCTTCTGGTAGGGCTTCCACTTTCATGTGGGGACTTGTCCAAAATCTGATTGCTGCTAACATGCATGTCTGCTCTATGAAAGAGCTCTAGATAGATAACCCACAAATGGTTTACAGTTAACTTTGAAATGAAGTTAAGAAGTACATGTTCACGATAGATGTTTAGGTAAATGCTAAATCGATTCTTTCTTCCACCAAATGAGTGTGTCTGGTTCAGAGCCTTAATCCTATTGACCTGTGGGAGCAGCCATGGGTCCTGGTGCTGGGTCAGAGGTGGAGGTGGCAGACTTGTGTTTCCTCTGAAGATAGGGGAGAGACACTCTCTCTTTACTTCAGGAAAGTAAATGGAAAGATTGATAATAAGTTGGATAACCAAGGGGGAAAGTTCTCTCTTGTGATTTCTTGTTAACAGATTTAGTAATAATTAGTTCTTTCAGTTACACTTCCCTTTGCAAGAGAGGACTGGTGGGGAAGGGCAGGCTTTTGGGCCTGGGGTCCTAACAGTTCTTTATGTCATGGCCACTTCCCAGTATGAACTGATGGAAACCTGCATTTTGAAGTTCCATGGAAAGCATTTTGCAAACTGATGTTTAAGTTCCTCACTGATGTTAGGAGGAGTGACCTGAATTTCCAATTCATATATCAGAATTCTCTGGTAGGAAGGAGAAACTTTATGCAGCTTCATTTTTAAATGGCAGCCAGTTGCTTTTAGATGGTGCCATTGAAATATATCACATTTTAATTTTTTTCTGTTGTCATCTTCATTTTGACACTTTAAAAGTCTTAAAGAAACGTTTAGTGATATTCTAGTTAAAATGTCAGCCCCGATTTTTTTCCCTAAATCTTGGCTATTATAGAGTTGGCAAAGTATTTTAGATTTGAAATATGTTAATAAAATTTTAGTTGTGAGTTAAGGTAGTTTCTTCAACAGCAACAGTGAGCTTTGGCTAGAGTGCAGTGCAAGAAAGTAGCTCCTTTATTTTGTTGTTATGGAATCTTGCTGGATTAGAAAGGTCTGAGCTGAGCTCAGAGAGCCTTCGTTGTAGTGAGGCTTTTATTATAATAGCCTGATTTTATAGGCTGATTCTCATTATTATAAGTTTAATAAATTATTGCCTGAAGGGAAGCCTGAAATTAAAGTTATTATGACACAGGCTGAAATTGAATAAATTAGAATTTTATACTGATGAATAATAAGCTTGGATTTGTGTTAGGAAAACCCCTTTCAAACCTGAATTATATTAATGAGCTATTCTAAAAGTTAGCCTTTGGAGAGTAACTTTACCAAAATTCTTCCCCTTGAATTTCCGTTTCTTTGTTTCTTACACTGAGTCTCTTACTCCTGCTGAAGGCCTGTGTTCGGTCGTGAGCTCTAAACATGCACGTGTCTGTCCAGCTTCCTTTGCTGCTAGGAAATGAGCCACAGGTTCCGGTGACACCTGAGGTACTGAGACTGAAAATTAGTGATTTGGCATTCACCCCCTGGTATATGGTTAGATTCGGCTTCTTAGAGGTGACGATATTCTCCCAAGGCTGGGCTGAGAAAGTATACTGACCAGGAACACCCAGGCCGGGTTATTTGCCGGTCCTGATCCGAGTGTCCTGTGTGTCACCTCTTTGCTGCTGAATGCTCAGTCTCAGCTAGATCCTGCCTGACTCTGCAGGTTGGCTTAGGAGTTTTTCTGTAAGTACTTTAACTTGGATTCCTGTTTTTCTGAATTACAAGAAATCTGAGATATTAGAACTATGTGTCTAGAGTGGTTTTATTTATTTATTATTTTTTAAAACCCTCACCTGAGGATATTTTTCCCCCCATTGACTTCTAGAGAAAGTGGAAGGTTAGAGGGAGTGGGAGAGAAACAGAGAGAAACAGAGAGAAACATTGACTGGTTACCTCCAGCACATGCCCCTACTGGGGCTGGGGAACCTGTAACCAAGGTACACGCCCTTGACTGGGAATTGAACTCGAGACCCTTCAATCTGAGGGCCAACACTCTAACCACTGACCCAAACCAGCTAGTGCCAAATTTTTTTTTTTTAATCCTCGAGGATATGTTTTTATTGATTTTAGAGAGGGAGGGAGGGAGGGAGAGAGAGAGAGACAGACAGACAGACAGACCGATATTGACCAGTTGCCCCCTGAATGCTCCACCACCAGGGATCAAACCGCAACTGACCAGGAATTGAACTCCAAACCTTCTGGTGCACGGGAGGACGCTCCAACCAACTGAGCCACGCGGCCAGAGCTCCTCTTGACTTAAATTGTCACGTGGGAAGTAAATTGTAGGGCCCTTTAGTTTGCTACATGGGAATCAGGGTCCGAAAGGAGAGGCTGCAGTTAAATGGCCAGTACTTGCTCTCTGCAGTTCCAGAATATTCTTCATGGGAAGGCCGGCTTCTGTCAGTCCCGATAAACTATGTATAATTGTCAGGAGAAACACAAAAGGAATGGGATTTTTGCCACTAATTGGTTAAGTCAATTGTTGACATTTTATTGAATCTCAGAAATACCTTGTAGCCGCTCGGTGAAACAATTAACATGTTTGCTCATCTTTTCTTAAAAGAAAGCTAAATAAAGATAAAAATAAATTTAAAGATTTTTCTTAAACTTTTGCAAAGACTGAGTCATATGTCTAATTTTGTATAATTTATCACTTAAAGAGTTGGAACCGGAGAAAAATAAAATATAGACTATTCTGAGAATATCTGAAACATTTCTAAAGAGTTTGATTTAATCTTAAATATAGTTATAAACTTAAGTATCAAAACTACATTGTTTGATAAGAAAAGTTGATTTGTTAGTCTTTTTTGAAAGTTTGCTGAAAATAACAGTAATTTTGACAACTGCTCGTACTAACTGATGCCTGTGTTTCAAGGAACCCAGTGACAATGGACCTCTTTTTACTGAACTAAAGTTCTACCAGCGAGCTGCCAAACCAGAGCAAAGTAAGAAGCACAGTGCCTGCGTTTGCACCTTAACGTCACCACCGCTTGTTTCGTTTTGCTTAAGCTAAGACTAGGGCATTGCATCTCATATTATGATTCTTTGTTACTTTATAAGTATGTTCTATTTACATGAGGTTTGTATGAAAGAATTCTGACCTCTCAATGAGTTTATTATAAGGTTTTACCTGTATTGATATATAGACTAAAATTAGTAATGATGTATAATTTAGAAAATGTTAAACATTGAATGAAACTCCTAATCCATGAGTATGGCTCAAGGATCTCTGAGTCTTTCTGGGTATTTTTTTTGAATTCTGGGGAACATAACCAGGGGTGGGGTTGGGGTGTCATAATTGATGAAACAGAGCAGATTATCAAGGTAAAGAGCAGGGCCTCTTCTAGCTACTCTAGACCTTTTCCTCTCTTCCCTACTCTGTCCTCCCTCCTTTCTCTTCTTCTCCCCTCCCCTCTCATCCCACCCCCTCCGCTCCCACCTAAGACCCCAGGCAGCCTCCTGGATGGAATAGGCCTGGCAATCTCAAGGAAGCCTCCCATCTCTCCCCAGAGCTTTATTTCCTGGTTGAGGGCTTTGAGGATGAGGTATTAAGCCTGTAGATTGGGGCAAAAGAACATTACAGTCATTGTGAATTACTGTAGTAAATGGAAATGTGTTTAGTTTTTTAATGCTATTCTCACCTACCTTATTTGAACATAAACATTATTGTTTTCAGGTAATATTTAAATATATTATGAAAAATTATGTTCTGTTTGCATTGGACAGAACTAGGGAATTACTGTTTATAGGTAATATGGAATAGTTTGCCATCAAGGTTTCATATCTGTATGCAATATCAGTATATCATTCCATTTTTTGTTCATGCTTAATTCTCTTTCTGGAATTATTTTCCTATGGTGATTTCTTTCAATAATTCTTCTAAATTGTCTTTGGTATAAGTTATTTTGAAATATATAAGCTATTTTTTATAAATTGATATTGAAATTCTTTCATTTGACCAGAAGAATGCTAAAACTGCATTTATATTTCCAGATTATACAGTTAGTTATCACACTGTCTTCACCAGACATTCTAATTTCTGTTCTCATTGTTGATAACATCAACTGCTCAGAAACTGGAAACAGGAGGAAAAAGAATTCACAGGCTATTAATATTCCACACTAAAAATAATTCTTTTCAAATAACATCTTAGTTTCAGAAAGCACTTATTGTATTAGTTAGCCACCATTGTTGAATGCCAAAGAAAATGATGATTGGTGACATCTCTTTCTTGGCAATACAAAATGAGGGAAAGTAGAAAAAATATTTTCCCAGATGAGTACATTTTTGTTCTCTATGAAAACCAAAGCAGACATGCCAAAATACTGTGTTTGGCATACAATACAATCAAAATAGCCAATTCAAAGTTTTAAATATTCTTCCTTTTGACATTGACAGCTCTCTGTCAGAGTTGTGTGAGGACACCATGCAAACTTTCTACTTATTGATGCAAAATTAAATGTAGAAGATAGCAGTGTTTTGAACTTTTAAATTTACAGATAGAATAATTAACTTAAATTATGTGGTTTTAAAAAATATATTTTATTGATTTTTTTTTACAGAGAGGAAGGAAGAGGAATAGAGAGTTGAGAAACATCGACGAGAGAGAAACATCTATCAGCTGCCTCCTGCACACCCCCTACTGGGGATGTGCCCGCAACCAAGGTACATGCCCTTGACTGGAATCGAACCTGGGACCCTTGAGTCCACAGGCTGACGCTCTATCCACTGAGCCAAACTGGTTAGGGCCTGTCCTGTTTTCTTGGTCATAGTTTCATCAGGTCCTTCTGAAACCAGTTTCGGGCATGCAATGCGGTCACTGATTGGCGTGGGGAGGCACTTGGCTGTGTGGGAGGGGATGGAATGCTGAGCCAGACCTGGGCTCGGGTAGAAAAGGTGGGGTGGAGGTCGGTGTTGGGTGGGAGCCAGAGGTCTCCTTGAAGGTTCTGATTCTGGAACCATGCACCTCTTAGGATTTCCCCAAAATATGATAGATTATATTTTGTTATGTATGGTTTTGCTGGAACAAGAGTCTATATTTTTATGGAATTTTCTGGAGAAATAGTATAGATCAAGGATTGATTAAGTAAGTTAAGATGGGATAATAGGACTTTATGGAGTTACTGTGAAGATGAAATTGAAACGTAATTCTTAAGGGGGTTGTTCTGGCACAGAGTATGGGCTCAGTAAATGTTAGTTGTGCCCTAGCTGGTTTGGCTCATTGCCTGCGGACTGAAGGGTCCCAGGTTTGATTCCAGTCAAGGGCACATGCCCGAGTTGCGGGATCGATCCCCAGTAGGGGGCATGCAGGAGGCAGCCAATCAATGGTTCTCTCCCATCATTGGTGTTTCTCTTTCTCTCTCCCTTCCTCTCTCTGAAGTCAATAAAAATATATTAAAAAAATGTTAGTTGCAATCATCATATCATTTCCCTCCCTCCCTTCCTTGTACCCTCCTTTTCTCTTTTCCTCTCTCCCTTTTTTCTTTTGGTTTGGGAATGGTGCTTTTTCTTAAAGTTGCCCACACTATCATAGCACATTTTGCCTATACAGTTTTATCACTTATTGTGTGATAAAGCAGAGAGCCAGTTAAACAGGGCTTGTGTGTGTGGCTCCTGTGAAGTGATCAGGCCTGGCGAGGTGGTGGGGGTCGCCGGTTGGCCCTAAGGTAGCTGACAGGAGCTGCAGGAGAGAACTCCCGGCATGGACTGGAGGGTGCTGTGGAGCACAGGAACTCTGGAACCAGACACGCAGGTTTAGTCCTTAGACCACCATTTACTAGTAGTTCTCTTGCCTCCCAGCCTCTTCCTTCTATCACATAAAGTGGCTGCAAGTGTCTCCTAAAATGGAGCATTAATCACCTCTAAGGTATTGATTTGCTTTTTAGGTTGAATCTCTTAAAAACAATCATTTTGGTTCTTATAAAAGTACAGATACAAAAATCCTTTTTTGTGTGCCAGAAATCTTTACTTTTCCCTGTAACTGATTTGAATTAATATGTATATAGTGCTTAGAACAGTATCAGGATTGTATAAAAAGGTTATCTGTTATCATTATTAAATTATTTATACTGATTTATATTTTCCCATTATTTGCATTGTTTATCCAAGTTTCCAGGAATTAAGTAATTGTGGTTCAGCCCTCTTTCAGACTGTCAGTAGAGGCTGTGTTATTGTTACCCATATATTATCTACACTAATAAAAGAGAAACATGGTAATTGGCGTACGAGCTACCCTTCCCATTGGCTAATCAGCATCTCACTATCCAATTATCCACAGGCTGACGCTCTATCCACTGAGCCAAACTGGTTAGGGCCTGTCCTGTTTTCTTGGTCATAGTTTCATCAGGTCCTTCTGAAACCAGTTTCGGGCATGCAATGCGGTCACTGATTGGCGTGGGGAGGCACTTGGCTGTGTGGGAGGGGATGGAATGCTGAGCCAGACCTGGGCTCGGGTAGAAAAGGTGGGGTGGAGGTCGGTGTTGGGTGGGAGCCAGAGGTCTCCTTGAAGGTTCTGATTCTGGAACCATGCACCTCTTAGGATTTCCCCAAAATATGATAGATTATATTTTGTTATGTATGGTTTTGCTGGAACAAGAGTCTATATTTTTATGGAATTTTCTGGAGAAATAGTATAGATCAAGGATTGATTAAGTAAGTTAAGATGGGATAATAGGACTTTATGGAGTTACTGGCACAGAGTATGGGCTCAGTAAATGTTAGTTGTGCCCTAGCTGGTTTGGCTCATTGGATAGAGCGTCTGCCTGCGGACTGAAGGATCCCAGGTTTGATTCCAGTCAAGGGCACATGCCCGAGTTGCGGGATCGATCCCCAGTAGGGGGCGTGCAGGAGGCAGCCTATCAATGGTTCTCTCCCATCATTGGTGTTTCTCTTTCTCTCTCCCTTCCTCTCTCTGAAGTCAATAAAAATATATTAAAAAAATGTTAGTTGCAATCATCATATCATTTCCCTCCCTCCCTTCCTTGTACCCTCCTTTTCTCTTTTCCTCTCTCCCTTTTTTCTTTTGGTTTGGGAATGGTGCTTTTTCTTAAAGTTGCCCACACTATCATAGCACATTTTGCCTATACAGTTTTATCACTTATTGTGTGATAAAGCAGAGAGCCAGTTAAACAGGGCTTGTGTGTGTGGCTCCTGTGAAGTGATCAGGCCTGGCGAGGTGGTGGGGGTCGCCGGTTGGCCCTAAGGTAGCTGACAGGAGCTGCAGGAGAGAACTCCCGGCATGGACTGGAGGGTGCTGTGGAGCACAGGAACTCTGGAACCAGACACGCAGGTTTAGTCCTTAGACCACCATTTACTAGTAGTTCTCTTGCCTCCCAGCCTCTTCCTTCTATCACATAAAGTGGCTGCAAGTGTCTCCTAAAATGGAGCATTAATCACCTCTAAGGTATTGATTTGCTTTTTAGGTTGAATCTCTTAAAAACAATCATTTTGGTTCTTATAAAAGTACAGATACAAAAATCCTTTTTTGTGTGCCAGAAATCTTTACTTTTCCCTGTAACTGATTTGAATTAATATGTATATAGTGCTTAGAACAGTATCAGTATTGTATAAAAAGGTTATCTGTTATCATTATTAAATTATTTATACTGATTTATATTTTCCCATTATTTGCATTGTTTATCCAAGTTTCCAGGAATTAAGTAATTGTGGTTCAGCCCTCTTTCAGACTGTCAGTAGAGGCTGTGTTATTGTTACCCATATATTATCCTATATAATAAAAGGCTAATATGCAAATTGACTGAACGGCAGAACAACCAGTTGCTATGACACGCACTGACCACCAGGGGGAAGATGCTCAAGGCAAGAGCTGCCCCCTGGTGGTCAGTGCGCTCCCACAGGGGGAGTGTTGCTCAGCCAGAAGCTGGGCTCATGGCTGGCAAGCACAGCGGCGGTGTTGGGAGCCTCTCCTGTTTCCGTGGCAGCGCTAAGGATGTCTGACTGCTGGCTTAGGCCCAAGGGCTCCCCGTCTGCGAGAGGGCGCAGGCCAGGCTGAGGGACCCTTGTCGGTCTGTGAGAGGGCGCAGGCCAGGCTGAGGGACCCTCGTTCCCCGAGTGCATGAATTTCGTGCACTGGGCCTCTAGTTTTATAATAATTGTATACATACCACTTATTTGTAACATGTACATGTGTCCTTGGTCACCCCTCAGTCTTTGAAAACCTGTTGTACAAAGGGAACTTGGCAGTCAAATTTATTGTTCCCTTTTTATTATCTCAGAGTTTAAGGCACTGGAAACTCTTGCATTTGCCACTGGCTAATTGTATGACTTTGGGCAAATAACTTTACTTCCATAGACATTAATTACTTATTAAAGATGTTCACAAAAGATGATTTCTAATTCTCTTCTAGTATAAAAATGGGTAGAATTCTAAATTTATTATTTGACTTGTCTTTTTTTTGTTGTTGTTGTTAATCCTCACCTGAGATATTTTTCCATTGATTTTTAAAAAGAGTGGAAGGGAGGGGGAGAAGCAGAGAGAGAAACATTGATGTGAGAGAGACACTTCTATTGGTTGCCTCCTGCTTGCGTGCTGACTGGGGCAGGGGATTGAATCTGCAACCTAGGTATATGCCCTTGACAGGGAATCGAACCTGTGGCCCCTCTTTCCGAAGGCTGACACTTTAAACCACTGAGCAACACTGGCCAGGACAAAACCAAAAATCTTCACATTGTTTCAGAATACTTTTTTCTTCTCCAATTCTTGTCTGTTGAGTATTTAATATATAGTTCTTTTGCACGATTTAAACAATTTTATTGAATTTATCTAAAAAAATTAAAAAAATGTTTTTATTGATTTCAGAGAGAGGAAGGGAGAAGGAGAGAGATAGAAACAATGATTGGCTGCCTTCTGTGCATCCTCTACTGGGGATTGAGCTCACAACCTGGGCATGTGCCCTGACCGGGAATGGAACGAGCTACCTCTTGGTGCCTGGGTCGACACTCAGCCATTGAGCCACACCGGCTGGGCTGAATTTAGCTATTGTTACAGCATCTCTTGACAGTCTTGATTTAAACAGAATGGTACTAATATTGCTAAAATGTGCCTTACAAATTGAGAAAAGCTGTCACAGGAAGGAAGCTAATATCCAGAAACATACATTAACTTTAACTGTCAGAAAAAAACAGTGATATTCTCCCTCAGATTGTTTTGTCCTTACTGTGAATGAATCTGTTGGATTCTCTGTGGGCGTTATATTACATGGCATATGGTCTCCTCTTACTAGATGAGACCAAGAGGAGGCTCTTGAGAATTATAGTCAGAAGAAACTGTTTCAAATGTTTATCTTTCTTTCCTTTTCTTTCTTCTTTCTTCCTAAACATTGCCTTGAAAAATCACTCTGACAGGAGTACTCACTACAGTCAGTTTTCCAGAGGTCTGTTTTGTCCATTGACTTTTCTTGTTTGTCTTCAGTTACAGATTTATGGTCATGGATCGCTTTGGGAGTGACCTTCAGAAAATATATGAAGCAAATGCCAAAAGGTTTTCTCGGAAAACTGTCTTGCAGCTAAGCTTAAGAATTGTATGTGAGCTACATGTTCCTTGTTTTTAACCCAGTGAAGCTGTTGTGTTGAAGCTTGGTCCTCTGCTGGTTGGTATTGGGTACTGCATTAACTTACTCTATGTGATGTTTTCAGCTGGATATTCTGGAATATATTCACGAGCATGAGTATGTGCACGGAGATATCAAGGCCTCAAATCTTCTTCTGAGCTGCAAGGATCCTGACCAGGTAGTTTTATAACTTTAACTTCTACAATTTGAAACCTGTTGTTTGAAAACAAATATGGCTGTTTTGAACTTTCAAACCCATGCAGAAGTTTTACTTTTTGAAGTAGATACGGTAATAATAATATTTTTTCTTGACACTTTTCTCTAGTTAACATTTTACATTGTTGATGCTATTTGTTGGCACTTTATCAAGTTGGCTATTTTGCCCTAAATAATATTCAGAAGAAGTGCTTGTGATACAAAATGAATTTCAAATAGCTATTTGGGGGTGGGAGCTTAAAATTATATAGTGCACCAATGAATTATGTTTGCCTGTCTGCTTTGTCATGTTTTTATTTCCTTTGTTCAAGAAATCCATCAAATGTAAGTGTTCTGTTGAGAAATTTGGTCTTTAACATGTTGATTATTCAAATCAGTTGGTTTACAGAAATAACGTAGCTGTCTAAATTTGTATGCCCTTAGTGTTTGAAATTTAAATTTGCATTTTTTTTTTTTTAGTTTATTACATTTCCTTTGTAATTTTTACTTTTTAAGGAAAGGAGAAAAGCTAATGTTATTTTACCTTTATTTGAGTTAGTTTAGTTGGAGTCAATGGATCTATACAATTTTCTTATAACTGTTTCTATGATTTTGGTAAGTAAGGTTTAGTTGACATTTCACTGTTGGGCTACTGTACTTATTCCATTCTGTATGTTCTCTACTAACTTGATCTTGTATGAAAAAAGATTATTTAAACATTTTAAATGTGTTTATGGCAGTAGTCCGTACTTCATTTTTCTTTCCCTCAAACCTGTCTTTAACTTCTTGCTTATTTTTTCCTTTTAACTTAGGCTCCTCTTTCTTTTTCTATCACTCATGTATTTGCTTCCCCTCCCATCTCCTTTATGGTGGCCATAGAGATCTGTATGCATATGCAGAAGAGAGCTGCTATACTAAAGCATGCTCATGCAGAAAGCTTAAAGGCAGTCACAGAATTGCGAGCCATCTTGTTTTAGATTAGAAACAAACAAAACAAAGCTAAGACCCCAAACGGTAAGGATTCTATTAATTGAAGTAGACTGGACTTATGCAATATCATAAATAATAGTACAGCCTATTTCAGTTTGCAGTTGACTAAAACCTGCTGCCTTTTGTTTCTAGGGAAGTATTTTTGCAGCTCTCTTATTCTTTGGGCATATGCTTTGGATGGGATTATTTTTCTAGTATTAGATGTATGTGCTAGATCCATCCCCATATTTTTACTTCACTTCCCTCTTGTGACCAGCTGCATACATTTGTGAGACAGTTCCCAGAACTAGGAATGTAATAGAGGCTCTGGCATAGAGAAAGCCAGGTTATTAGATTTGTATGCTAATCAGACCCACATGTATATGTCCACAGATGTGTGTGTATGTAACATTAAAATGTAGCTTTAATTTTGAAGACTTGACTTTAATATATAATATTTAAATGTAGATAAGAACCTCATCTAAAAGTTTTTTAAATCATGATCTGAAACACTTTTATGAAGTGAATTGATATTTGATTATTTTACAAGTGAAGAAGCAGAGGAATGAAGGTTAGCAGGATTATACTAGAGTGTGGCAGTTGTATCTCAACAAGTACGATGGTTTGCTTTGTGCTCAGTTTTGGGTTTTTTTTTCAGACTGTAAGGAGAAGTGTGGGGTTTATAATCCTTGCTCAGTAGAAGATTAAGGAGAAGTATAACATACTTATCCAGAAAGTAATCAAAGTCAGGTGATACTGTCTATACTGTAGCTACATGGTCATCTGACACTTTCCTTTAAGTAAAGAGCCTTTCAGAAGTAAGCCTTTGCTGTTGTTTGCATACAGGACCTACCTTGTCTGGGTGCTATGCTGTGGTTTTGTGGGAGGGTATGTGCAGTCTCCTGGCTTAAATTTGCGCTTACAAATTTATAGGTGTACCTGGTAGATTATGGCCTTGCTTATCGCTACTGCCCAGACGGAAGTCATAAAGAATATAAGGAAGACCCCAAAAGATGTCATGATGGCACTATTGAATTCACCAGCATCGACGCGCACAATGGCGTGGGTATGTCAGCAGCAGCTGAGCAAGAAATGCACAGCTAACATTTCACCTGGATCCCATACGGTTCTTAGTTCTGCATACGTAACTAAGGAGAGAAGATTGAAGAGGCGAAGTGGGACGGGAGGAAGGGGAGGCGGATGCCTGCAGCAGCCTCTGCTCTCTCTGAGCCCGAGCGCCAGTGTCTCAGCAGCGAAGTGGCTCAGTCACTGCAGCGAGTGTTTCTTTTCGGTTGCTTTTAACTTAATCAGAATGTTGGTTGTTTTTCCCCTTAAAAATCTAAGTTTTCATGCAGCTACAACTTTATAACAGGTAAACTTGTATTTCGTCACCTGTTAATAAGTTGGTCTCTTTCTTCAGCTGTTGTTTCTTTTTTCTGTGCCCACTTCTGTGGGGGAGCTAAACCCCCCAGTTCTCTGGGCCTCTTAATAGCTCGTAGCATTTTTAATATCTTAAATATTAAATGTGGCATTATTTTATATTTTATTTCCTAGATTAATAGTCTCGGTTTGGAACTCTGGAGTTTGCCAATTTGGGTTTTAAAATAAATTATTAGCCGGGGGGTAAATTATTTCTTTGTATTATCCAATATTCAATACTTTCTTTAAATGCAGGCAGAATTTATGAAAAACAAGACTGTAGAGTTGACTGTTTTACCTTATTGCTTTATATATAATTGAAATTGCACCTTAAGAATGATTTCAGTGTGCTTCATCTACTTCTTCTGTGTTCACAGCCCCATCAAGACGTGGCGACCTGGAAATACTCGGTTACTGCATGGTCCAGTGGCTCAGCGGCCACCTGCCCTGGGAGGATAATTTGAAAGATCCTAACTATGTTAGAGATTCCAAAATTAGGTAAAGGAGACTCACAAATTAATTTGGGAAGCTCATGATAAGGCAAATGTTTTCCAATCAGAATTTCTTTACTGGAACTGTAGCTTTAACTGATATTAAAATAGAAATAACAAAGTACTTGTTAAATAGTAAGGTTTCTTGTGGTTTTTTTTAATATATATATGTTTTTATTGATTTCAGAGAAGAAGGGAGAGGGAGAGAGAGATAGAAACATCAGTGATGAGAAAGAACATTGATCGACTGCCTCCTGCATGCCTCCTACTGGGGATTGAGCCCGCAACCCCGGGCATGTGCCCTTGACCAGAATCAAACCTGGGAGCCTTCAGTCTACAGACCAATCCTCTATCTACTATGCCAAACTGGCTAGGGTGGTTTCTTGGTCTTGTGTTCAATTTATTTTAGAAGAATGTCTATAAGGATATTTAGGATATAGCACAGTGCTGCTTAGAGTGCTATTTACTGTTATTAAATATTAATAACTTTCTATGGCATCAAGCTCAAACAGTGTCTCATTCTTTAATTTTTAACAGATACAGAGAAAATATTGCAGGTTTGATGGACAAATGTTTTCCTGAGAAAAATAAGCCAGGTAGGATAAGACTTCTTACATATTCACATGGGTTTTGTTTTCTGAGAGAAAGTCATGATGTCCATTGGATATTCCTTAATGTGAGAGTTCAGGTGAAATTGTAATGGGGCCTGTTCCCATCAAAAAAGAAGTGGCTACAGGGATACTTGAGCTTCATTCAGTTACTTACTGCTTTTAGGAGGGGAACCAAATTTCATTCATTCATGCAGCTGTTTCTTTATTGAGGCTTCATTGTGTGCCAGGGGCCCTTCTAGGCACCAGAGATACACCGGTGAACAAGACATACAAGTCCCTGTCCTCATGAAGCTCACGCTCTGGTTGGAAGAGACACACAGTGAAAAACCGAGTGCATTGCAGTGTCTTATGTGGTCGGTGCAATGGAAAAGAAGAAAGCACAGAGTAGAACTAGGGAGTGAAGTAGGGAGGAGGGCTGGGGTTTGAAATGGGTGGGCAGGGCTGGCCTCACTGACCAGGTGCCATTAGCATTGTAGGAAGGAGCTAGGGAGTAAGCTCTGGAAGTCGGGAAAAGCCTCTTCTTGGGCCATACTGCCTCAATTATTGTAGCTTTATCTTAAGTCTTGATATCTGGAAGGTTAAGTTGTCCAGCACTGTTCTTTAAACTTGCCCTTGCTATTTTGCTATTCTTGGTCTTTAGCATATCTATGTAAATTTAAGAACCACCTTGTCACTTTTACACACACCCCCATCCCCAGTCTGCTGGAACTCTGAGTGCAGTTGCATTGACTGTGGACTGATTGGGGGGCATTAGTATTGTTACAACATTGAGGGTGCCAGTCTACCAGTATGGTATATCCTCCATTCGATTTCGTCTCTGTTTCTCTCATCTGTGTTTTATACTTTACTCTGCAAAAAATCTTGCCCATCTTTCATTGTGTTTCATGCTTTTGATGCAATGTTATGGGATATATATTTTAAAATATTTTCCAATTGCTTGTTGCTAGTATACAGAAATAGATTTTTATATACTTACCTTGCTTTTGTGACCTTGTTATGTTTACCTATTCTAGTATTTTTTAAATAGATTCCTTAGGATATTATATACACTATCATGTTTGTGAATAAACTGTTCTATAGCTGGCATTCAACTCTGTGCCTTTTATTTCTTGCCTTACTGTATTGGCTAAAAGCACACATGACTATTGTGCTGAACACATTGGTGAAAGAGGACATCCTGGACATTTTCCTCTCCGAGGGAATTTTCAGTAGTTGACCAAGCTCAGTGATGATGCTTCAGGTTTATAGATCCCCTCGATCAGATTGAGAAGTTGAAAAGAGGGTTTTGTTTTCTCTCTTTTTAACTCATGTATGTCAAGTATCTAGAATCTTACCTGATCCGTAATGGATGCTTAGTATGTACTTGAGTGAGTGAATGTGTTCCGTGTGCATGTAGCACTGGCAGGAGCCATGTATTGGTTGGGTGTGGGTGTGGGTGTGGGTGTGGGAAGAAGAGTGCCGGCTGGAGGAGCTGGAGGGTGGAGGTCTCAGTCACCCAGACTGGGAAACCACAGGGGGCAGATGTAGGGGCAGGTCAGGGGTTTAGGTTTAGATTTGTTGGGATTTGAGATGACAGTTACACATCCTAGAGCTACTGTGTGAGGCAGTGTGTGCACCAGTCTGCAGGTCAGGGCAAGGGCGAGGCTGGGGCTACGTAGGCGTGAGTCAGTCGCCTAGAGGTGGATTCTTGGTGCTGAGAGGTGGTGATCTGGACTAGTAAGGTTTCTCTTTATGGCTGTGGTTCTGCCTCTGTACAGTTAACCTGTCACTCAGAAGGTGATTTTTCTCTTTCATGGGAAAACCAGGCCTTGCTTCTTTCTTCAGCCTGTTTTTGGTTTGTTTTATTTCTCATGTACATGAAGAACCCGAATTTTAAAAGTTGGCTATGATATTCATTGTACTTAAGCACATTTTACTTCATAATCTATATTCTAGGTTCCTGTGTGTTTTTGATAGCTTTAAAACTATGGCAGTTATTTTTGTGAATGTTTAAATTTTAAGTATATCTTTTTTCTTATTGTCTCACAATTTCAAAAATGTTTCTTACATCATACCTCAAAATATATTTTTTATTCTGACATTTTCTGAGTTCAGAAGCACAATTTTCAATGAAGAAGTAATTGAAAAAAGATCGTTTAACAAAATATCCATTTTAATTCTAATTTTACTATAACACAAGTTATTTTCTTCGAAGTAAGGGATAAATATATTGTATTTGTGATTATAAAATTATAGAATAATTGTGTTATTTTTTTAGATGAAATTGCTAAATACCTGGAAACAGTGAAATTGCTGGACTATGATGAGAAACCCCTGTATCAGAATTTACAAGACATTCTTTTGCAAGGACTAAAGTCTATAGGAAGCAAGGATGATGGCAAACTGGAACTTGGGGCTTTGGAGAACGGAGCTCCGAAAGCAAGAACGACAACCAAGGTGAATTCTGTTTTTGACTATCCTTTGAACTTCCTGAGATTGTGATTGCAACAAATAGTGATTTCAGTAGAGTAACTCAGTGAGTAGCTCAGGAAAGAAAATAATAACAGATTGCTGGCAATTAAATATTTATCTTCATTATCTAAGGGCAGGCTAAGCTCTTTATGATAAAGAAAAATATGTAGAGGGTTGAAAAAAGTGAACATTTATTTATTTACTAGTGGCCTAGTGCACAGATTCATGCACATTGAAAGGAAATTAATTAGAAAAAATATTTTAATATTGCAGCAAGCTAACTGATGGCCGATTCTGTGAGAAATCGGGCTCCCTCCTCCCTCCTCTCTGGGTCCAGGATGCAGGTGAACCAGATTCGGGGCCGACAGGCCCCAGCAGCAAGCTAACCCATGGCCAGCAACCTAACCTACCATTCGGAGTGTCTGCCCCCTGGTGGTCAGTGCGCATCATAGCTACTGGTCGAACGGTCACTTAGGCTCTTATATATATAGATAGACTAGAGGCCTGGTGCATGAATTCGTGCACAGGTGGGGTCCCTCAGCCTGGCCGGTGACTGGGGCCATCTCACCCAGTCCCTATCGGGGCCGATTGGGGCCGGCTAGCTGGGGGGAGGGACTGCGGGAGGTTGGCCAGCCGCAGGAGGTTGGCTGTGGGAGCACACTGACCACCAGGGGGCAGCTCCTGCATCTGCCCCCTGGTGGTTAGTGCATGTCGTAGCAACCAGTTCACCAGTCAGTTGGTCGTAACGGTTGCTTAGGCTTTTATATATATAGATTATGTACAGTAGCAAGTGATTAAATTTTTTCAAGAGATTCTAGCTTGGGATAGTGGTACCTGGCAGAGGGATTTTGGTAGGGGCACTCAGCTCACAGTTTGTATTGTTTTTTCCCCCTCAAGTCAGCCCCTAGGGTTGATCTTGTCTTTGTTGGCGTGGTCAAAGAATTTATTATTTGAAAATTGGTATTTGAAAAGTTACAATTTGAAAGTTTATTGTTTATTGATCTGTTTACCATTTGAATATGATTTTGCTCTTTACCAAAATGCCATTATATAAAGCAGTGTATATGCATATAAGGGGCTTACTTTTTAAGAGAGAAATGTTAAATAGTGAACTTTATGGGGAAGTATTATGCAGCCATGTAAATAACTCCTGATATTACTTTAATATTTAGATTTTACAGGTATGCATTAACTTTTTGGTTTATTGATTATTTCTAGTAATTGTTGACATTGATTTCCTTTGTAATTTGAAATCGTTTAATAAAATGTATCATCTGCTTTTATATGGAAAAGGAAAACTACTTTCAGAATAAATATATTTTTTATATTAGTGACCAGTCTTACAGTCGTTAATTCTGAAAGCTCCAGCAGCTTCCTTTGGGAATTGTGTATTCCAAACTATGAGGAAAAGGGTTAAAACAAATTACCTCTTTAAAACAAGAAACAGCAAATTAAAAGATTTTTATAATTCTTCCTAGATTGAAATTTTGAAATTGGATCATGAATTTGACTTTTTGGCAAATAGTAGGTCTCTAATTTCATCACGGAATTGAAAATTATACATTTCATCTACATAGGCATTTTCCCCCTGCAAGTTTTGTGTTAATTGCATCTGCTCAGTTTTGTGGTCAACAAGTGTGCTAACAGCTACATTCGGCTTTGAAATGAAGGGATGGACTGGAAGCCTGATGGAATTTTCAGTGAGGCAGTAACTTACAGTTTGCATACATGGGTAAACACACAGCGTGCATCCTCGTGTGCCGGACAGATTTCTTTACATTATATTTATAGCTCGCTTCTAGAGTGTTTTTCCTAAAATTTAGCTGATTGAGAAGTAAAGATCTCTGCTGCAGTGAGAACTTGTTCAGTGCCATCCCCCTTCTTTGCAAAATGCTGTTTGGACCTGTGTGCTGGAGAAATTTGGTTTCTGCAGGTTGGCTGACTTTACAGCTGAGTAGGTCAGTCTGCTGCAGAGCTAACATCTGTGCCTGATCCCCTGTGTCCTTGGGTAGTTCAGAAGGCTGGACAAGTCCTGTCGGATCATGCCCTACATGCCTGAAGCTTCACGTAGGGGGAATATATGAATACCAAGTTGAACTGTTAGGTTTCCTTTATTAGTTTACTGCTTCATTTTATATTTTATTTTATTCTTGTCTTCATGGCTGACACAGGGCTATTCTTGGTATTAAAATGAAATTAATAACAGCTAGGATTAGGTAAGATCATGAAGCTGCTTGATAGCCATGTAACTATATAGGTGAGTTATTCAATGTGTTGGCCCTTTGTCTTTTTGTTTATAAAAGTGAAAAAACTGCACCAGACCAGTTTTTTTTTAAACTTTTCTTTTTCTTCTTCTTTGTTAAGCCCTAGAACAGTTTTCCCAAATAAATTGTAAATGCCACATGTCTAAAACTGGCAAAAGCAGCGCTGCACTGGCTGAGAAGCGGGGGCTCTCTAGAAGGAAAAGCTTCTCTTTTGAGAAATTAGAATTCCCTTTCCTCCTTCGCAAGGGGTATGCAATCAGGATGGCGTTCTCTGCTCTGGTTACCAGGAAGCTCACAGCTAAATAGGATTCTCTGATTATGGAAACTATAGTGTTAATCTTTATAATTAGCAGATTTTCTCACTACTCTTTTTGTCATAATTTTTAGTTTTTTTCAGATTATTATTCAGATAATCCATGTCTAACTGTAGTTTTGCTTTGGAACTTATTCATTTCTTGAAAATCCATTTTTAGATTTCTAAGGGCCTTAGAGGTCATGTGACTTACGCAGTGAAGCTTCAGAACTGAAGTGTCTTGACTCTTTTCATTACACACTGCTTCCTGCAACTCAGCTGATTTTGTCTGACAGCATTTACGTTTATAGAAATCTTTGCTCATGCCTTATTTTTTATTTTTAGTCTTTCCAGTCTTATTGAGATATAATTGGCATTCAGCACTGTATAAGTTTAAGGGGTACAGCATAATGCTTTGACTTAAATATATTGTGAAATAACTACCACAGTAAGTTTAAGAAAAAATGTATATGTTCTTTTTATTTCTCAGTCTCAAATCTCTTTTGGAAAGGGGCAGGTGTAATAAGTTCAGTACATGTTTCTCTATGTTCCTAGCAGTATCCGTTATGGTAACACCTATAAGAATTGATCAACAATGGCAGGAAGCAAGGTTTCTATCCAGTTTTTCTCTGACACCGTGCACACTGGTAGTCACTGCATTGTACTGACTTTCTTCCCCATGCTGTACTTCACATCCCTGTGGCTGTTTTTGTAACTGGCAATTCGTACTTAGATACTATTAAACTTGAAGATTTTTTTGTTTTTGTTTTTGAAGGTTTTTGTTTTTGAAAAAAAAATAGATCATAGTCTGTAGACCATTGGTTCTTCCTATCCAGATGGCATGCATTGTCAGGAAAGTTGGGCAGGAGACGCCAGCTGAAGGCAGGTGAATGGAAGTTGGGGCCTAACCTGGTGCCCCTGCTGAAATCACAGGTGTTTCTCTTGTCGGTTGAATACTGTCTGATTTTCATTCCTGCGTCATTTACCTGCACGGAGATGAAGGAAGCTCCTTTTTATTAAATAAGCTTGAAACAAGATGAATGCACTAGGCTCTTGGGTAGAATGTATTGGATGGCTCCCTGTATGATGAGCATGTAGAAATCTGCCCTCCTAAACCTGCAGAAAGCATTTTCTCCTGTGTGGAAAGCAATATAGTACTGAAATATTCCTCCTTAATTTTGGCCCGGACGAACAAAAGTGTCTGTGTTTATTCCTGCCTAATGCATCACGAATCTGCTGACATGCTAACCTTGGAGTCTTGGCCGGCGTTAATCAGGCCTGCGCGCCGGAGGGAGGAGGCACCTAATGCACTCCATCAGTGCCGTTTGCATATGGAAGCCCTCACAGGGGAGCTGCCCGTGCCAGCTGAGGGTTACCTGCCCACTGCAGTTATTGTATGTAATTATCGAACCAATCTGTTCAGCCCAGCAGGGCTGGGATGGCAATCATGGAGCGACACTTTGGAAAGGGAGGGTGGGAGGCACTGCCCCTTCTCTCCTCCGTTGTAGGAAGTCGCAGCCTCTCGGGCAGCTCTCTTTGAGAAGGGGTCCCTCCTTCCCCAAAGCTGCTCAGCAAATGCTGCTTCTGAGGTTTCCTAAGCTCAGTGCAGTCCTCAGGTCTGTATTTGTGGAGCCTTATCTTTAGGAGCCTGGTATCTGAGTCCTGATCTTTCACAGCTGCCTTAAGCATCATTGGAAACAGTGGGATTAATTGTTACACAGAGATAATAGCAGTTCTGACCGTTTGGAGGGTTAAGATAATGTGGTCTGAGCGGAGCTGGGCCTCCCTGCGCAGCTCTCTTCGGAACAGAGCCATGGTTGCCATTAGGAGGAAGAACAATGTGCTGTCAGCAGGTATTACACTCTTATAGCCACACGCACAATGGCCCGAAGCAAGGAAGGTTCTCAGATGAGGTTCAACTTAATGTTAATTGTTAGGAAATATAAATGAGGACATTCTGATGCGATGTGAATCTGTGAAACTTGCGAAGTATCAGATGATTCCCTACATGACACACACTTATTTTAGGCAACCTAGAGAAGCTTTGACTTTTAATTTGCATTTTAACACATTTAAATTTGAGACTACATGGGATAAAGTTACATGCAAAATGCAAAGTTTTAAATTATCTCTAAGGTCCTTCTATAGTTATAGTTGCATGTAGAGATGTTAGGTGATTTAAAAACTTTACACAGGAATGAACTAGGTAGAAAATAGTATAGTATTGGAAAATAATAATAAGGAATTGAATGAACAGTTGGGAAGAATGGATGGTGACAGAATATAAGCATTAACTCTCCTAAGTCACACTCAACTGGAAAAATAAGTAGAAAATAGGAAAGGCCTGAGAGAATGGTGGGAAAACCAACCGTTTCTGAGATTTTAGCAGACCTGTGTACTTTTAAGATCCTTCCTTACAGCAAGGTTTTTGGCCCTGTTAAACTTTTTTTTTTTTTTTTAATATATTTTATTGATTTTTTACAGAGAGGAAGGGAGAAGGATAGAGAGTTAGAAACATCGATGAGAGAGAAACATCGATCAGCTGCCTCCTGCACACCTCCTACTGGGGATGTGCCCGCAACCAAGGTACATGCCCTTGACCGGAATCGAACCTGGGACCCTTCAGTCCCCAGGCCGACGCTCTATCCACTGAGCCAAACCGGTTAGGGCGGCCCTGTTAAACTTTTAATAAAAACATTCCAGAAGGAAATATACCCCCACAGATACACACTGTAAAATTGGAGAATAAGTATCATTGGCCTCAGAGAGGGGTGATGCCAAGTTTATAAAACACTGGGCTTTAAGAGAGTTTCTGTATCACCAGTCCTGAGGGTAAAACACAGCTTTCCTAATGAACTATGTGAGGCATAAAAAGTTAGAGGTGGGTAACAGCAAACAGACCCACCTTTCAGGCACACTGAATAGTTGAAGGCTCTCTAATCCCATTGTCTTTGCCCCCCTTCCCTTAGGCCCCCACTACCTTGAAGTTGTGTATTGTAGCCCCCATCCATATTTCTCTTTCCTCGGTTCAGTTACCTGCAGTCAGCCATGGCCTGAAAATATTAAATGGGAAAATTCAGAAATCAACAATTCTTAAGCTTTAACTTGCCCTCTGCTCTGAGTAGCATGAACTATTGCCATCCTGCCCAAAGCGTGAGCCATCCCATCGGCCAGCATTTCCACCACCCGATAGTCACCCTGTGGCCGTCTGGGTTGTCGGACCAGCTGTCGCAGTATCACAGTGCTCGCTCAGGTCACAGTTATTTTACTAATGGCCCCAAAACGCAGGAGTGGTGGTGCCGGCAATTCGGATGTGCCAAGGAGACGCCGTCAGGTGCTCCCTTTAAGTGGAAAGGTGTGTGTTTGTGGGGAAATGTAGCGCACTGTATATAGGATTTGGAACATAAGCCCTCGTATGTGTTTTGTGTATTTTGACAGCACACCTGTATAGGTTCATATGTATACTAATATACAGTGAGTTTGAGTATTTACTTCTTGGACCATTAGACCACAGCTTTCTCTCTTTACATTTTCACATGTAAGAAGCGGAAGAAGGAGGCTGAGAAGAGCACAGAAGCAGGTGTGGAAGACATGGAGTGCTCGGATGCGCACACGGAGGAAGCCATGCAGACGCGTAAGTGGACAGTCTCGCTGCGACCTCTCTCCACGCGTAAATGAGGTTTCCTTTCCTTCCGCTAATAGGACTCCGCTGTTCAGGTCGTCACATTTCGACTTCATAATACAATATCGTAGGGGAAGGCCTTCCGTCTGTGCAGTGTGTATCACAGGGGCTTTGTACACGCAGAGTGTTATTACTGTTCACAGTGATCATGAAGTTGGCGCCGGGAGCTTCTCTCATTTTTCAGATATGGAGCCCAAGACCCCGAGCGTTCAGGTGGCCGAGTTGTTGCGCCCTGGCCGGATGGCTCTGTTGGTTGGAGCGTCGTCCCGTACACCTAAAGGTTGCGGGTCCGATTCCCAGTCATGGCACATACCTAGGTTGTGGGTTTGATCCTCGGTGGGGGCACAAACGGGAGGCAAACAACAGATGTTTCTCTCTCTTCCTTCCTCTCTCTAAAAAATCAAACATCTCCTCAGGTGAGGATTAAACAAAGATGACTGCGTCGGTGAGAAGGGGGTGGCCTTGGAGACCAGCACTCCTGATTCTCAGCCTTTCTCCGTTCCCACGCGTGGGATGGAGAGGAGCGCGTGTCCAGCACCAGGGGTCAGTCCTTAGTTCCTGCACTTCCCTCAGCTGCCCCGCTCTGCTTGCCTGGTCATTCCCACAAAGTGCCAGCCTTTCTCTCTCTACACTTAGGGTGCAAGGATTAAAGCCTTGCATCGTTATTTTCCAAAAAGCACGGTGTAAAGTCACCGGGTGCCTCACAGGCTGTGCTGCCGGCGGAGCGGGTCCAGAGCTAACCTGAGCGAGGCCACAGGCCGGGCGGGTGGGCTTCCTCTGAGGGGCAGGCAGGCCCAGGGTGACCAGGGACGGGAAACATGTCCCAGGTTTCTTTGACTCCACGCTGGCTACGTGCCCTTGCTCTCCTGGCCCTTGGGCTGGTATTGCGTTGCCCTTGGTTTCTAATGGGAAGGCTTATTTTAGGTCACGTCTCACTGAGGCGCGAGGCTCTGTTGGGCCAGGTCCGGGGCGTGCTGCACCTCCCCTCTGCCCTGGCCCAGGGCGCACTGCGGAGGCAGCCATTTGACTTGCCAGGAGGGCCGGCTCTGCCCCTTCCATCCACCTCTTCTTCACCTTGTGTTCTGGGTAGAGCATCCTGAGGTCCACCTGGATTTACTCAGGAGAACACGGGGGTGTCTGGAGAGTGAGTGTCCCTTCGCTCTGGGTCCCTGGGTCTGAATAGCCCGTCTCCCCTCTGCCGCCGCCTCCGCTCTCCACGGTTGGTTCCCTCCTCCCGCCGTGTTCGTGTTGTTAGGAAGTGAGGAGCCCTGAGGAGCAGTACAGCCAGGCCTGTCTCAGCCAGAGGCGAGCAGCAGCCGGCAGTGAGTGGGAGTAAAATTAAACAGCGTTTATAAAGGTAGAGCAAGAGTCTTTCTTTAAAACCCCCCAGGTTCTAAACCTGGCGGTTTTCGTTTAGGAGACGGCCTGCAGGGTTAGTAAGGTTGACACCCATTTAGGTCCGGGACTCGGGCCTCTCTCCACTGCCTGGCGTCATTGTTACCTGGGCTCTGCTGGCTGGGCATCAGAGGGGTTTGTTTCGAAACCTAAATGATTTTAAATTGGGGTATAATTATAAATAAGTTTTTTATACCTAAAATTTTAATCAGAGGTCCTTATACTGATACTTTTTACTGTGAGAAAATATATTAGTTTTTTTGTTTTATTTAATAATGACAAAAGAAGAGAGTAAATCCCATTGCTAATTTAAGGAGAGCAATCCAGCTATCTTTTTGGTATAAAAAAGCAGATAAAGAATAATCAGATTCTGCTTTATTCACATAAACTTGGAATTGCTTTACTTAAATGCTGTCTACTTTCCCATTGTAATTCATTTTCTCTCTAAAGTAAAAGGCTTGTTAAGGTATTTCACAATCTAAATATTCAAAATGAGAGAAATATCACCTGAGATGGTGAAATATTACTGCTTCTAGCCAAAAACAAAACAACCCCCCCGCCCCCCACACACACACACAAACTAAGGGCATAGGAAAATGTATATATATTTGTATTCATCAGTTTAAAGAAACTTGAAGAAGGCACATTATTACATTTGATTTAAAGAAAAAAGTAATCCAATTCACTGAATACTGTTTTAGAGCTTTAAGATTTTGTGTCATAAATGTGTTTGAAGAATGGTTACCTCCAACAGCAGCTTTAGAAATGTCAGTTTCTTCATTAACAATTTTATTTTCAAACACAATTTATGGTTTACAATATGGTGAGAGATTTTTCTCACTGTGTGATCTTTCAGAATGCTGTGCCTAGCAAAATGGGAGCAGCTTTCCTTTAATATCTATTTAGACCATTTTAAAACGTGTATAATTTTCTTGATACACCTAAACTCATTTAGACTAGTTGGGGGTCTATTGTGTACGAACACATTCTGAAAGCTTTCAAAGTGTGTATTGTGTGGGTTTTCTCAAAGACGGAGAGGGGGTGACGGGCGATTTTCAAGAAGAACAGAGGCCCTAATCCTTTTATTTTTATGCAAGGCATAATTTTTACCAATTGAGAAAATTTGGTTATTTGCTGCAAGTAATTTCTTTCCTGCACAAAATGATAAGCCTTATAAAAACCATGTGTATTCTGGCATTTCAAAACCATGCCAGGATTTCAGAATTGGACTAAAAATTAGTTAATGTCACCATGATATTTATGGCTAGTGTCCTTTGTCCCTACTGTTCATAGAATGGTCAGTACACAACAGAAGTCTTATGGGTGCTTTTTAGTTTTAGGTTTGAAGTGCCTTGCATTTTGGATCATTCTTGAGGATTCTTTGATGAAAACATGGTTTTTATTTACCTCTTGAATATCTATATTCTAGTAAAATAGAGGTATTTTTAAAGGCACCCTACATACATGGACATTTCCCACTTGTTTTTTCCTTCATTATTAAAATCATAGGAGGGTATCTCAAACTTGTATATTTTATTTTTCAAATATTAAATCTCACACATACTTGTTTTGTGATTAGAACTTTTACCACTAGTAGTGTATTATGAAAATGAGTATATTTTTTAAAGAGACGAGAAATTGACTTTTCTCTGCAGCAATCAGAATTGATTATTAGGAAACTATGGAATTGATACGTGCAGCAAAGTATCTAAGTTGCATATACTGATTATATAGTAAATTCCAGGTGGTGGTGGCATTGAACTTTAAATCTAGATGGAAGAGGGTGAGCAGCAATGGTGTTTAAGAGTGACCTGTCAAACTAGGACGTTAGTGGGACAGTACTGCTTGAACACGGCTGTAACCGTGTGCGCTTCGGCGTGCTTAGTGTGTGGCTGCTGTGCCCAGTGCTGACTCTGGCCTGGATCTTGGGATCGCCGTTTCACCAGTCCCAGAGTCACAGCACTCTCGGTTTTCTATGCCAAATTAATTTTGAAATTCTCAAACTATAAACCTAAAAATCTACCACAGGATACTTTTAAAAGAAGGTTGTATCACAAACATTGAAGAAAAAACTCAGTTTAAACTAACCATAGTTACAGATTATGTATTTGAGTGGCAGAAAAAAAAAGATATTCATATACCTTTGAAATTTGCTTTAATTTAGTGTAGCGATTTTCAACCTTTTTCATCTCACAGCACACATAAACTGATTACTGAAGTTCAGCAGCACACCAGAAAATACATTTTTGATGATCTGACCAAGAAATAGGTATAATTTTGATTTATTCACACCGGATGGCTACTGTGGGGTTGGCTGTTGTCCTTTTTTTATTTGACAATCTAAGGCAGCGGTATTCAACCTGTGGGTCGAGACCCCTTTGGCGGTCGAACGACCCTTTCACAGGGGTCGCCTAAGACCATCCTGCATATCAGATATTTACATTATGATTCATAACAGTAGCAACATTACAGTTATGAAGTAGCAACGAAAAAATTTTATGGTTGGGTCACAACATGAGGAACTGTTTTTAAAGGGCCAGAAGGTTGAGAACCACTGATCTAAGGGAAAAGAAGTCAGTGCCCCTAACTAGTCAGGTGCTACATGTTTTAAAAATTCTTGCGGCCCACCAGTTGGAAGTCGCTGATTTAGTGTATGGCAATTGACTAGAAACTAGAATTTGGAAAAATAAAAATAACACACTGATTTTTAAATTGCTGATCTTCCAGTTAAGGGACTAAATAAATCTGTAATCAGAAAACCTTTAGGCACTATTCATTATTAGTCATGTGTGATAGACACTTTGTCCTAGGTTCACAGTGTTTGTCCCTGTCAGAAAGGAAGTATTGATCTCTTCGTTGCTCGTTGCGGGCATTGATTGATCGTGAGCCACCCGCTGCCCTCACAGGGGCCATTGCTGCTTCCTGGCAGAGCCCAACATTAGGCGTCCTAGGCATCGAGATCAGCCTCAGCCCCGTCCCTCTGACTGCCGTGCTCGCGTCGGGGTGGCGTGGGGTGGCTGGGAACAACATCCTTGGGGAGCAGCACTCCCTGCCCTCGGTAAAGAATCGCTGGTTTATGCCACCGGGAGCGGTCGGGCGGAACTGTCAGAAGTCCCTTAGCCGTGTCAGGTGTGATGCTTTCCTCGAGGCTGCTCAGTGGCCCCTGTGTCATTCCTGGTGGAAAGCTGTTGAGGAGTCCGTGCTCGCCTGCCTGAGAGCACGGGTGGCAGGTGTCAAAGGCAACACCTTTAGAATAAGCCTTCCTGCTTCCCTTAGTGTGCCTAACCCGTCAGTGCCCACGGAGACAGTCCTTACGTTCTGCTCTGCCGTACGTGAGCTTCATGTTCCTGCTGCACATACACTTTGGGAGATGCACTTCAGGAAGTCACTGTTTTGCCAGTGGGAGAGCCGATGGAACTTGGAGAGAGACTTTGTTAGCATATTTTTGCCATTTTCAGGGCATTAACAGTTACACTTTTGTGCATGAATTTCATCTCCACTAATCAGCATGGTTAATAAAATTTAAAATATTAATAACAATGTGTGGAAATACTTACATTTCTGTTCTTTTGCTTTTGTAAGTTAATGATTACTGTTTGAACTTTCTTTGTTTTCTCTTCAAGGTTCAAAAAGGAGAAAGAGAGTCCAGAAGTAAACCACATGCTGTGAGCCAGTTTTTCTTTTCTTCCTGTCATTCGGCTTTTTCTTCATTTTCTATTTTGCGTGTTTTCATGTGGGTCTTGTGGGTGGGGGTAACAGGGAAATACCTATGTCTTTGAAAAACAAATTTTTTACTGGAATAAATGCTTTGTACAGTTTATTAAAGGCTAACTTATAAAATTTCAGAATGTTTAGGTTGCATGTACTCTTTAAGCTGCCCGGCTGTGGGAAAGGTCTGGGTACTTAGAAGAACTGCTGTGAGGTGCACTTTCCAGTTGTGTGTATTTCCCAGAGGGTCCAATGTTTGGCCGAGTCCTTCCTCTTAAGGAAATGTGAAACTTCAAATAAAGGGGTCTTTTTGCTTGATACAAGTTCGGTTTGTTGTGGCCATGTTTGGTTTTTATTGATTTTGTTCAGTCCCACAGGTATGTAAGCACCTGCTGTATGAGGCAGGAGATACAGAGAAGGGGAAGGAGGTGAAAGAAAAGGTGGGTCATGAGCACATGGGGCTGGTCGAGTACACATGCTTGAAAGCGAAGTTATGTAAGGATTATGTAAATGGGCAGGCTCTGTGGGAAGAAGATGGGGTAATTGCCAAGTGATGGCGCGGTCACAGCGTTTATATATAGACACTTCCATAAGGAAACGCTGTGAAATAAGTCTCTATAGCTTTCTGTCTGTCTGTCTGTCTGTCTGTTTGATGGGTCTATCTCTATGTCTGATTGTTCATTCACAGATTATTTTTCTTAAAAGTTTCATTTTTTGTAGCATATCATATTTGTATAGTAGAGCAAGCAGTTGAGAGTTTTGGTGATTAGAAATTTTAAGATGTGGACTTTTTATAGTTGCCCTGGAAACTAACACTTGTAATTTAAACGTTTATGAACAGATTCAAGATTTGCTTTGTTAGAGAACCTGGGGCTGGATTGGCGTTGCTAATTGTTGGCACACCTTACCAGCTGTGTCATGTCCAGGGTTTTCAGATGGTGTAGAGACACACTTTTATTTAAGTCTGTAAGCATTTATTTCTAATACATATTCAAAATCTGAGTAGCATGTTAAACTGGTGATTTTCTGTACTGCTTAGGACAAGCCTCATTTAGGGACTTTAGTTTTTTAAAAGGGCCTTGATCGGAAGAAAATATTAAGTGCGGTGGGATGTCTTCAGCTAAAAATGGACCAGGTTGTACCAAGTGTGAGCAGCTCTGGACCAACACAAAGCCTGGAACTTGCACTCCCTGATGCGGATATTCAGCTGTCCCTGCAGCAGGTGCCTCTGGAGCAGGTGCCCCTGACGTGGTCAGACACTGACGAGTGTGGAACAGACGGCAGACTTTCCTGTGAGGTTAGTCAGTCTCAAAAGCCTCGCGAAGTTGTAGGGCCCTGTGTCTTTCCAGAAGAGGGAACTCGGCTCTGGGCAGAGACTTCTGCTTTCTGGAGAATGTTGGATTTAGTCCTCGCCAGTGCTATGGTCCCAAGTTTATTTGTAACACTTAAATCAACTCTCAAGTTCTGTTTCAAACACATTGACGCCTAAAATAGGATCAAATGTGTGTGGTGTGTTTTTGTGTATATGCCTTAGCCTTTTTTGTTTTTCAAAACACAAAAACATAGCAAAACCTGTTGGTTAAATATTAAGAAAACAAATATTTCCTCACATATTGTTTTTACAAGTGCTGGCATTTTCTCGAATGTTCCTCTGTTGGCAGGACTGCAGAAATGGAGAGCTAGTAGCCATAGTAGCCAGTCTGATTCTGCTGCTGGTTTTCTTTCCCCGCCTTGGGCTGGTTTTTCTTACCCCCTGTGTTAAAAAAAATAAATAAATAAAGGGTGAATAATCTCCCTGCCATCGGAGTTATGCTTCCGTGTTTTTTGCCATTTCCAGTTCTGCGCTAACTCTGTGCATCTTGCGTTGTTTCTGTTTTCTTTCCAGTCCCCGCAGTCAGTGGGGCTCGCCATTCTTTGTTCCCCCTTCACAGTTGGGCTTCCATATCTGACGTGTGCTCCTCGCACATTTTGTCACCTGCTTGGCCATTCTCTCAGGTCTGTGGAGGACCGACACCTGTGCCGCTCCTGGCCTTCGCGCACTGGAGCCGTGCGCCACGGGTCCCGGGCAGCAGCCAGGCAGCCTGTGCAGCTGCCCGAGCCCTGCAGGAAGGGAGCGTCCAGGTGCTCTGCAGGGGTCACCTCTGAGACAGACCAGCCCGCTGCTTCCTCTGAGTTACGAGGTTCACTGCCTGTAGAGACCTGAGCTGCAGTGATACAGCAGTGATACAGTGGAAATAGAAGTAAATGAATGCATTCGGTGTGTGTCTGTATATGCAGTTGAGCATTGTACGCTTGTTTATCCTTTCAACTTCTATTTTTAGTGGCCTTTATTAGTCTGATTATCAAGAAGTATTAATAATACATGGTCATTGTAGAAAATTGAGAACATACAGAAAGAAACTGTGCAAAGACAAATGGGCCACGCCACTACCGCACCACCCCCGACAACCACTGTGGACGTGAGTTTCTTCTAGTCTGTTCAGGCACTTTTATCTTGAAATAATTACCAGACTTGATAGACAGCTTTATATTCTGCTTTTTAAAGCGAATTTTAATATTTTCTATGTTATTACAGATAAGTGTAATAAGTGTAATTTTTTTTCTTATGGATTTATGATACCGTCATGGCCATTTCCCTAATATTGGACATTCAAGTTGTTTTCAGTATGGAATAGTATAAGCAATACTCTTTAGTAAACGTGGGCAGAAACCTTTACCCACATGGACAAGTATTTCTTTGCCAAAGACTAGAAGAATGGAAGAAGGTTGCTGATGCCTGTTATCCAATTGCCTTGTAAAATCTGTCCCCGGACCCTTACTTGCCCGGTACATCAGCGTGCTCAGCTCACGTTCCTGTCATCCCGAGTAGTACTAGTTTTCATAATTTGATAACAAATTCTCTTAATGGCTGGTAAACCTGAGCAGTTCTTATGTGTAATCTGCTCATTCTCTTCTCTCTCTCTTTGGAGTGGCTGTACTGTTTGTATAGTAATCATCTTAACCCTTTGTCATGTTCGTTGCTAACTTTTTCTGTTTTATTTTTTTATTATATTTTCTTATGAAGCTTGATTTTTATGGCATAATCTATTGATCTTTTTCATGATAAATTCTGCCACTGTTTTGAAATTTTCCCATCTTGGAATCAGAAATATGTACCATAACTTTTTCTAGGTTTTTTTGTTTTAATACGTCCAAATTTTTAATCCGTGTGAAATTTACTTTGGTGTGTGTATGCCATGAGGTAAGACTCACAACGGATTTTTTTCCAAATAGCTAACCAGTGGTTTCAGTTCATTTGTTAAATAGATTCTCTTCCCCGCCCTGGTTTGGGATGTCTGTTGTGTTACATATTACGTTCTTACGCCGGGGTCTGTTTCTGGACTGAGTGTTCAGTTTCATTGATCTGTCTGTTCTTATGCCCACACCACACTGATTTAATTAATGCCATTTAACTTACTAATTCTTATTTATTGACCAATGTACATTAATAATCAAAATGAAAGAAAAGTTTACACATAATCTCGTCAAAAGTAAAAAGTCAAACTCTGGTCCTGTGGCTGTGCTGTTTTGAGTCCTGCTTCACGCCGACTTACATTTCACAGTTCAGGCGGTTGCGTGGGTGAAGTTTTGTGGGTTTTGTGTTTTTCTTCAGTGCACAGGCTGCTCTGTGCCCTTGTTTGTGAAGCTCTGCACACAGCGTGGTGAGCAGAGGGGAGAGGGCCGGTCACTTGAACTTTCCTGGATGGAGAAATGCGCGTTCCAGACCCTTAAGAAAGGACCGTTGTGTTTTGGGCATTTTAGTTCCCCTCTCCTCCCCCCTGCTCGCCCCAAGTAAAAGCTCTGCCTTTTTTATGTGATGAACTCCCCCGAACACATTGGTGCTCATGCGCCAGTCACCCCTGGAGAAGGACTGTGTGTCCTTCCTGGGCAGCACCTGCAGAGGTAGGACCTGCTCCCTCCCAACAGCTCTCCTCCCGCAGCCCCACGGGCTCTAGTCCAACAGCCTTGGCAGATTTGTAAAGGCTTAGGATAAAAATATGTCATTTATCCCACCGTGTGTAATTTAAAGAAGGATCATGCAGACGTTTTGAAAGACACGCATATAGTCCCAGTGGTCTCACCCCCCCTTTTAAAGTTTCTAACCAGGTTTTCGGCAGAAGTTGTCTGTTCCAGGTGCTGCAGTTGCAGGGAAGCCTTTGCTATGTCATGCAAAGTGCTCAGGAGGCAGAGGTGGCCGCAGTTCCATCACGTGGTTTCCCGGGCTCTGTCCTGTGGGGGTCAGAGAAGCCACAGCCAGGAGAGCCCAGGGCGAGGCCAGGGATCCCAGGCCCCTGCTGCTCCCAGCGAGCTGCACCCAGAAATGTGTGCAGGGGGGTCAAGCTAAGTGAGCAGCCGCCCTAATACCCGGTTGGTTTTTAGCAGCAAAATTGGGGGGAAATAGGAAACTTAAAAAATGGTGTTTTTTCCCGGTGTTACTGTTGCTCTCCCCATTTGAATGAAGAGTCCCTAACAAAAGAAGCGCTGCCTGGAGACTGCATTTGCTGCTCTCGACTCCAGTTGTGTGTAAATATTAGAAAACAGCGGGGCCCCGCATTCCAAGAACCACTTGAGCAGTGCCACGAAGACAAGTGTCCTTCCTGGTGTTGTCGCCGCAGTCCCCGCTCTCCTGCTGTTTCTAATCTGTGCGCGCAGCCGTGCAAGAACCGGACTGACATTTACAGGCGCAGCAGGGAGCACTTGACGAGGGGATGTTAAAGACTCCAGTGCCTCCGCTGCCTGGCCACCGCACGGCACGTGCTCCCAGGCGCGGGACGGAGGGCGTCTGTGCTGAGGCCCCGAGTGGAGCGGCCCCTCCACCTCAGCTTTCCCGCAGGCATCACTGGTCCTCAATCCCGCCTGCCTAAGGAGCATCTACTTCTGTGCGCGGGACGGGGGCGGGTCTGTGCCCCCCTCCTCCCGCCCGTCCCCACTAGGCTCTCCAGGAGTGTTCCTCGTGCAGGAATAACTGCGTGAAGACACAGCCCCCGGGATCCGATCCGCCGCAGCAGGTACCGGGAGAGGGGCAGTTGCTTTGTTCCGAGCCTGACACTCCTCCGTCGCCCGCGCGGACAGCAGTGCAGTTAGGCCCGCGCAAGTGTCTGGTTGGCTTCTCCTCCGCGAGGCGCTCCCGTGGGAGTAAGGCGAGACAGACTGTCATTTGCTATTACTAATTCTGTTAGCATTATCGCTGGCGCTTTTTTTTCGTAATTAGCTATCTTAGTTGGCTCTTAAATTTTAATAGCCAATTGAAGCTACGTTTTAGCCAAGTTCCATATCTAAATTGCATT